AAGCCTCGAGTGAGTCTTCTCGATCATTTAATGGCATCGTCCTTGTTGTCATTGAACTATATCTAACACAGATGCGGCCGTTTCTGCAATCAATGTATTTGTAGGTAATTAGGGGAAATTAATTACCACACCCAGCTGATCCCTTTTGTAATGCACTTAATGTTGATGAAATATAAGATAACTCAAGGCGACCCTCCTTTTTAGAGCCATAATTTGTGATGGAAGGCTCGGTAACTGTTCATCTTGTCCCAAAATCGGAAGACTATTATATTATGATATTGATATCAATATTGACGAACAAAAACGTGCACTACATGTTGCAGAATGCTTTCTGGTATTATGTGAATATCGGCGAACGAAAGCGGCGCTGTGGATAGATCTTACAGAAGGATTCAAGAAAGATAAGTCATGAGGGGGGGGGGGGGGAGGGGTGAAAGGGAGAGAGTGGGGGAAATAGGGATAGAGAAAGAGAGAAAGAATGGATGAGAGAGAGGGAGAGAGGGGATAGAGTGAGTAAGAAAAATATATATATGCAATTTATACCTATCGTTTTGTATGTGTGGGTGTGTGTACATCAGGGCTCAAATTAATTTTTTGCCCACGGGGGCTCTTCCAAAAAGAAAGAGCCCCCGTGAGCCTTCTCACGGGGGCTCTTTTAGTGCTGACGGGGGCTCTTATTTTCATACAAATTTCCATTGAATTGGTACCCGAGAAATTCCTTGGTATTTTATCAATATCATTTATTTAAGTCGGTATTTTCCCTCTTGGAAATTTACTTGTTACATAGCTGTTATTGACTTTTATCCCTGTGAGGACATTTTCTCCATTTCTTCCCGTTCTGCACATAATTTCCTCCTCATTATTCAGGGCAACCTTATTTACATTCTTTCTTTACTTTTAGTCTTTACCATATCCTTCTAAAACACAGGGGCGGATCAAGCTTTTTGCTAAGGGTGGGGGGCCACCCCAAATACGATGTGGAGCATCGTTCACGAGCCGCGTAGCGGCGAGGCGATTTTTGTTGTTGCTATTTTGAACCCCCGTAAGTGGTGTTTTTCCTGGCATCTACTAACATGCGGCCACATTTTTCCTTGGCAGCCCAAGGGGGAGGGGGGGGGGGGGGGATTAAACCCCCTAAACCGTCTAGATCCGCCCCTGCAACATCTTATGCCTTTTTCTTTTTCTCAATATTGATTTACTGGTCGAGTTACATTATTTGCTGGTCTTTAAGAATCACCAGATTTCAGAGGTTTCAAACTTTTCACAAAACTCCCGCCCCCCCCCCCCCACCCCACTCAGTGTTATTGAGGGTACGCATATGCTCGTTCCCTCTTTTTGAAAGCACCCCCTATCTGAGGACTGCCAACATTTCCGAACCCCCCTTTCGCGGGCTTTTCGCGGGCTTTTCCTGCCTTGGAGACCCCCCTAAATCAGGAAAAATGCTCAATGTACCCCCCTAAACTCGGAATAATTTCTCAGGAGTCCAAAGAGATGAGAGAAAAAAAGAAAAAACACCCCCTTTTTAAAGAAATCTCCGGGTGAAAAGTCAAATACACCCCTTTTTTTTTTACAATCTCGGGCCGGACTTTGTCGCACGAAAAGTACCCCTTTACCTGACATTTTGGCAACACGCATGCGGTCATTCCGACCCCTGGGGGGGGGGGGGGGCAGGGAAAAACTTCTCCATGTTTCAGTCCTTGCGCGATCGTCGATATCCAGCTCCAGCAGATATTGGGCGTCAGTGTGCACACACGTACGGTACTACCTATAGCCACTGTGCTGACGGCCCCACCGCGAGCTTCCGTTGTTTGTATCGGTAATACTCGTAGAGTAGAGATGGTAGAGAAAGCGCCATCTAAGTTCCATTTCATTGGTCTAAGCTTGAAAATTGAAAATCAGAAAAGATAATCTTTATTTCATAATTCCACGGGGGCGATTTTTAATTTTGCAATCGTCCCTGTGAGCAACATGACGGGGGCGATTATTGAGCTCACGGGGGTGAATCGCCCACCGCCCCCGTGTATTTTGAGCGCTGGTGTACATGATTGTGTGAGCGCGCGAGTGGACGAGTTAGAGATGTAAATGATAAATGTAATAAATTTGCTTGACCACTTTTGTATAATCTTTATCTCTTTTAGGTGCTGTGCATGCTAGGAAATGAGAGATTCTTGCAGACCAAGTTGTGTTTAGTCTAATCATCTTGTTAAATCGTTCTGCATTGAGGTTAAGGGAGGCATACTCTCCAAAGATTCCATGACATTTGCTCCGGCGACAATTGCTCCGCTGTAAATTTCATACACTAATCGAATGGCTAACTTCAACCCTGGATTCAACACTATACCCTACCCTAAACCTAACCCTAAACCTAACATAAAACCCTATTGAAACCCTAACCCTAACCCTACATCTTAGACGAAATAAAGCCCGGAGCAATTGTCGCAGGAGCAAATGTCGTGTCACCTCTCCAAACTAACAACAAACACAACAAATAATCATCAAATGGTTCTATAAAAAAAACGCCTCACAATTTTCACTGTTGACCCTAAAAATTGGAAAGAGTACAGTATATTGTGTCTTTTTAGAAACAAACATATTGAGTCGGTTCTGCCCCTCTTGAATTTATCGGTGCCTTACACCCATCTCTTATTACACTCAGTAATCCATTCTGAACGGCACAGTGTGGGCATAAATGACGCAAAGGGGGTACGGGGAGTAAGAAGACTTACCCCTATAGACTAATCACTTTCAGTGTAAGAATATACATGTACCTGTCCTGACAGTGTATCAGATGGACAGATGGGGCTCGGGTGAAGCGTGGGGGAATTCATGCACCCGTGCTGTCAACTTTTAGAGCTATCCAGCGTCACTTTCAAGGAAAGAGTTCAAGTCCAGATACACGTGACCTACTTCACCCATCTGACTAAAATAATGTTGATCATACAAAGAGTTGATATCAATCGCAAGATAATTGCAAAGAGTTGATGTCAATCGCGACTTAATTGCAAAGAGTTGATATCAATCGCAAATTATTTGCAAAGAGTTGATATCAATCGCAAATTATTTGCAAAGAGTTGATTTCAATCGCAAATTATTTGCAAAGAGTTGATACCAATCGCAAATTATTTGCAAAGAGTTGATTTCAATCGCAAATTATTTGCAAAGAGTTGATACCAATCGCAAATTATTTGCAAAGAGAAAGGAGACTGCAAACTTGCGATTGATTAGAGGCCTTGCGAATGATTTGGATCAATCTCAACTCTTTGTATCAAAGACGAGGCCAAGAGCCAAAGTTGTAGACATTACTTTATTAAAAACGGAAGGACGTCTTAATTATTACAAGAACCACACAAAAATAACTTGACCTACGGCAACAAAAACAAAGAATGATAGGAGAGCTTTAGTTTATAGGTAAATTGTCATAAAGTGTTTATGATACATTATTTGGGTCTGTGGGAGTAATACAAAGTCGTGTCTACCGGCAGTGCGCTACGACAATTTAGACCTCATCGTATAAAACTAACTGGTCTGGTATAATGCGGCGTTGCAAAACAGTTGCGATTGATTGCAAGTTGCAACTGATATTTGCAATCGATTGCAACTCAACTTTCTTGCAACGCCCCATTAGTCTCCTAAATTCCCTAGGATTTTGTTAAGATTAAAGTTATAAAAATTAAATTAAGTTAACTAGATCTAGCTGTTATCCCCCCCCCCTCTCTCGCCCTCTCACTAATGGGGCGTTGCAAGAAGGTTCAGTTGCGATCAATTGCAAATTATTTTGCATTTAATCGCAAGACTTAAGCTTGCTTTTGGGGATTTGCATTTGATTGCAACTTTCTTGCAACGCCCCATTAGTATATATCTCAAAATGTAGAATGACCTTTTAGCAGAGGTCATCGACTTCACAACCTCCATTCACAGTGTAAGATCAAGGATTCATAAATAGTGGGGTTACTAAGAAACTTTGTGCCACATTTCATCCTTGCATTCTCAATGGAATTGACACTGAAAGGAGTGTGTACAATCAAGTTTTTGGAAATGTAAAATCAATATGATCTGGGCCCAGTTTCATAAAACTTGTTATCAATGACAAGTTACAATAACTGTTATAAGCTACTGAAATCGTGGCATTTGATTGGCTGAGAGCAAATTTGTCAAAGAAATTTAGCATTTGTTATTGAAAAGTTTATGAAACAGGGCCCTGATCATTTACGGTACAGTTGCAGAGCTGCCAACCTTGTGGGACAAAAAAAAAAGCCAAAAAAAGGAATTCATAAAAAGAACCTTACAACCACGCGCGACACACTTCCAATGCAGAAATGTTCATTCATTATGCTGTTTTTTCCATACAAGCAGGTATTTTTTTTTTTGTGGTTATTTTGGTATTATCGGCATTTATTTTCTTTTGAGAATATTTTTCTCTTCAAGTATGTTTTAAAATAAGTTTTCTATTTAATTCGTGATCAAATCACCATTTAAGGGCAGTTGTTTGACGTGTGGTATGTAAAAAAAAAAAAAAAAATACAAAAATAAATAAAAAATAAATAAGTAATTTAAAAAAAAAAAAAAAAAAAATTAAATTAAAAAAAAAAAAAAAAAAAAATTATTAAAAAACGTATTTTATGAAGAAAAAACGTAGTACCGTAATTTGGAGGAAAAAACGGAGTATTCCGGCAAAAACGGAATGCTTGGCAGCTCTGCAGTTGTGACACAATTTCAATCTAAAGAAGGGATTTGGGAACCTTGTATTGATAATAGATCAAAGAACCAACCACTATACCAACTTACATTTTTCTCAAAATGAAGGGGTACACAAAATCATATACATGTAGGGAAATATACTACAAGTATTGCAGATGGAAAAGGGGGAGGGCACACACCTGCACATCATTTGAAATCAGCTATTGCATCGTATCGGCAAGGTTCCATGCAGAAGCACATTATGATCATTCTTAAGCACTGGCCATCCATAATTACAGCACTAATGACACATTAGAGTTGAGTATCGCAATAAGTATATATTTTATTACTCCATAAAGCAGCACTGAGAATCTGATTCTCAATGTGCATCTTATCTTGGCATCGCAACATGCAATGACTGTAACGTACATGTACATGTAAACTACTCATGTTAGAGAGTTGAAGCATAAAACTGCTAAATATCTATCTATCTATCATGTCCAATAGCTAAGAGGCTGTTGGGGCGGCAATGAAAATGACCTGGGGGTGTTTCACAAAGATCCCAAGTCGAACTTAACTCTAAGTTGGACTTAAATATCATGGAGAGCCATTTGTAGCCTTAAAATAAATATATTAAAAAGCAAAACTTCAAGTATTTCATACTTTTCATAAATTCCACATCAAGAACACGAAATCTCCTTAATAATAGAAAATATGATTAGAATCAACATTTGAGAATAACTTTTACGAACATTTTTATAGACGCCAACTGCTTTTCATAATTGTTAAGACCAACTTAGTGATAAGTTCAACTTAAAATCTTTGTGAAACACCCCCCTGAAGTCACAGGTTCACCATAGCCTCCTGTCTTCATGCTGAATATACTAAAACTCAAAAGTGATCCTGAATGTTAAAAGAAATTGCACAAACGAAACGAACTGAAAACTGGTAAGGAGTGATTTAAAATATACACCCGTCAGATAAAACAAACTAGTGCGTTCCTACCATGAAATATGCATAGTTCTTCAGTACATTTCGTTCTGGTGTATGCAAAGCATTGACAGGACCTTAAACTTTTGCTGTTCTCCAAGAATAAGAATCCCTGATTTTCATTTTACCTCTTTATCTAGGCAAGGCATGACAGAATAGGTTGTCCATTAGACAAATTATAGGTAATTGAATGGCCTTTAAAGCCTACCTGCACTAGTTTGGCCAGGAGGGATTAGACCTCCCTGCATGGTCACTGACAGGTGGTTATCTCATCAAATCAGCTCTCAATTAACATAAGAAAAAGGAGGCCATGGGGGCCCATAGGTTACTGATTAGTTTGCTATATAGAGGGCGCAAGTATCTATAACTAGTGCAGTGGGGCTTTAAAGGATACTTCATTGGTCACTGAACAAAAGTTTACTGAGTAAAATCAATTGAATAACAAAAAGCATGATTTTATTTTTGTACTACCAGTACAAAATCATGTTATACATTTGTTGCATTCATTTAGACACACATGAACAATAGTCTTGTAAAACATCTGCATTGACTTTCCAAAACAAAACACTACCCATTTTTTAAATACTTAAAATGCTTGGTGGAGGAATGTATAACTAAACATGGCAAAGCCATCTACTATACTGCTTTAAATTCTCGGGCCATTCGCGGCGGTTGTGTTAAATCCTGATAAAATATTGAATGTAATTAACAATGCAATGATTAGTTTCAGTGATTTGCATAATCTTCACATGTCAATAGAATCACAACATCACATCTTTGATTATTTTAATATGAATCTACAAGTGAATACATGAAATTGAAGTCACCCTTCCAAAAACGGCTGAAACCCCAAGGGCATCTCTGAGCTAGAAGCACTACTGCAAAATACCCTCTAACACCATCTCAGGTCAGCTGTAGCAGTATGGTCCCATAACCTGCTGCTTCCCTAACCGCACTGTTGGTTCTCGCATCTAGTCCTCTGTCTGCGAGTAGGAACTACTTATCGGGCTACGCACTGTTGGCAAGTTGACCATGAGATGGCGCTGTGCAATAAACAGTACACTAGGGTAGAAAGTTCATCAGTTCAGAATCGCTTTAAAAGAACTTCAGTTCAGATGGTCATAATTTTCTTTTTTGCAATTGATTACATTTGTCAGGATAAATACTACCGGTAAGTAAGTTGCAGGGTAATTACTCATGACTCAATAGTGCAAGGCAAAAATAAAAATTGATAGTCAAAACCTAAATGAACTACAATTTGTCTGAATAATATCGGGAAATGTCTGAATTTTACACATATTAAAGTAACTTTATCACTGCCACTAACATTGTATACAGTGAAGGCTTTTATCGTAGTAATGTTTCAAAAGAAAGTTAATGTCGTGTTTTTTAACACCACAGACTTGGCTGTTGCATGAAGTTGATTGTCAATCAAAGTTGCTTCCGTACCCCTGGAATACTTATCCGTCTATCTAATATTCGTTCCCCTCAGCAAATCAAGGATTTCTATATATACTCAGACTGTGTGCTGAACTTTCTGATAGTTTCTATAATTATTAGACGAACTTTTCATGTTCCATGTAGAAAGGAGTATGATGTGAAGACTGGTCCCACCATCTAGGGTGTTTGCACACAGGAGATTTTGATCAGGGTATAGTTCTGTCTATGAATTATCCTTTTTTTTAAGTCCACACATCTCTTGGTCCATGCCAAGAGAATTTCAACTTTAGACTGCAGGAAATTCGTTTTACATGTTTGGAGACGCAAGTCCATGAAAGGTTCCTGGTTGTGTCTCTGACTGAAGCTTCTAGTTGTCAAGTCATGTTTCAGGTTCCGTGCAGAGAGAAGTTTAACCTGAAGATGATGGTGATGATACTAAAAGTTTTTTCTGCAGAAGATAAGCGTACTAAATTCTATCTATGAATGGAGTTTCTGATTTGTAGTCCTTCATTTCCAATGCTGTAGGCAATAATGTGGTGAAGTTCTTCGTGTAGGCTCAGCAAACCAACCATTTGAACATGTAGATTATAGTCTTTGGTAAGAGCTTAGTGCTGTCTCTGAAGCTCCTGGTTCTCAAGTCTTTGGATCTGATGTTGCGGTAAAGAGACTGTAAATGCGAGGACTGTGAGGGCCATTCAAATTAATTACAATTAATATGCAGTCATGCTGATTGTGTCTACATAGACTCCTTCCGATTGGTAAGTCTCCGTACCTGATCTCCCACAAAGAGAGGGGACTGCTAAGAATAAACCGGGTAAGATATTTGGAGATGAGAGTTTTTGATCACAGACTAGTCCTGTCTCTGTCTAAAGTTTCTACTTCTCGTACTTTCATGTCTGATATTCCATTTAATATATCAAAAAGCTGAGAATTTAGGCGGAGTGGGTATATTTGTTTTTATTTTGCAAGTGATAGAGACTTTGATACATGTATGTATGTATGCTATAAAGTTCTGTCTCTATCCGTCCTATCATGAGTGTTGAAGAATCTGTCTAAGGCCCTTTTTGGCTGCTTTATGCATGGCTCCATCTAATCTCCCTGTAAGAAATGAGAACAAGAAAAGGATTTACAAATGTATCAACAAATATTCAAATTACCAATATTTAAAATATATATTAACATTATTCACATGCAATAGGCTTTTTGAAAAACATTATGTGTGTGCTTTCATAATGATCATAAAAACGTGATGTTTTGAAATCAGTGATGTGTTCTTAAAAACTACAGATGCAATAAAGAGGAGAAGATGTTTCATAATATTCCTGACTCTAACGATCATGCGGCATAAATTTCTAAATCTGTTTTTCTGTGATTCTTGGCTGAAAGTAGCTCTAATATGATAGAAAAACTGAAAAGGACTTCTTGAAAATAGCTGTAAAGGCAGCTGCGAGGTGTTAGATAAAAAGCAAAATAATACCGGTAGACACAATTTCATACATTTCGCTTGCCAATTTTACCTACTCCATACCTGTAAGTGAGGGAATTCTTCATGTTTTATACCTTATTTTACCAATTAAATTCCTAATATCTCACGCATACTGCCAAACCGACTCCTAACCGACCAATTCTTACAATTTTGTAGCCACTCAGGAAAATGTAATTTTATATTCAGTCTCCTCTAGGTCTGGTATCTGTCTCACTGGTTTGACTGGGGTGTTAAGAAAGCAAAGAAAAAATGTAATTTGTTTGTGTACAGCAGGGCTCCCTTGTAAAGCAGGCCTTGCGGCTTGAATGGGACTACTCTGCTTTTTATAAAGAAAACATGAATGAATAAATAATACTTACATATTTTATGTTTTCCCTTGACTGGAAATTTGATGAATAACTCCTGTGGGTTCTCGCAGATGAAAACATACGGGGATGATGATTCTCCCTCTGGAAACTATAACAAATAAAATAATCAAATTATCTGTTTTAGTCGACATGGTTGATGACAAAGCTTTCGGAATACCACCATGGTTGGTATTACCTCCTTACAATTTTTTCGTTGTTTGAAGGGGGTGTAGCATGACGAGACTACGTGTCTTTCCTGTGGCCTGACTCGGGCTAATCGGGTATAATATGATTCGTTTGCGTGCAGTTGTCTAAAAGAAGTCGTAGATGGCGTTAACCAGTATTTGCCATGCTACAACCCCTTTAATATGTGCTCTTCATTTTGTATGATCTATCCTACTCATAATGTACTTTTGTTTAAGTGCTTTTAGGTGATTTCATTTTTTCCACTGGTGGACCATGAGCATTTCATTAATGTGGAATGGGAGCCTGAAAATTCTTGGAATCGGTTGTTATTTTACATGTATCATTGATATCACCATTTTTTAATGATCCTTAGCATTTTGAGGAAGGAACCTAGCCCACCATCATGACAGGAAATGGTTCAAATAAAAGATGAAGAGAGATAGAGACAAACGAGCAAGATGGACGAGAAGCATTACTAAGGAAACATGCCCTTGGGAAATTAGAGCAGCTATTCAAAAAGGAACATCATACCAAGTTTTTGACGTAGGGGCACCAGGAGTTGAGGTTGAGTAGACATTGTTGGGAAGGGAACAGCAATCATGAAAAACTTAACAAGTTGAATACCAAGCCCAAGATAAGTCTAGGCAAACTCATTAAAAATCTAGATCAATCTTTGACTGAGTGCAGTCGAAAATGATGTCTCCGCCATAGAGCGTTTGTACAAACCGAAACAGAAGCAATTTTAAAATTGAACAGGTTCTCAGAATATTGTGATTACAAGCTATTTTTCATATACTCGTATGACCCTTTGATTTTGACCTCATGACCCCAAAATCCAACTCTACAAGATACATACATGTCCTGAGTTTGATGGTAATCCGTCCATTGGTTCTACTAATAATCACTGAGCTCTCTGTTGTGAAATGTGAAATGCGAAGTGCATTTAACTTTTTGTCATCATAACAAAAACTGCTGTGGTTTTGCTGCATCAGGTCTGAACGAGCTTTAATTCTCTATTCTCAATAGAATATGTACAACAAGATCCTCTCTTGCTTACCTTGGATCTGTAGTCTTCTTGGGCCAAGCAGTCCACCATGTCAACACAACCCAGGAGGCAACTGGTAGGATAGTGCTCTGGAAAATCCGCATCTGGATGACAAAAAAAAGGAGGCAAATTTGTTTTGGAAGTAGTGGTGTAAGTTACATGGTACAGTGAAACCTGCCTCTAAAGACCACCCAAGGGAGACAAGAAAAGTGGTCTTAATAGGCAGGTGGTCTTTATGTAACGGTTCCTTAAGTTCTTGTTTCAATGAGAAACCATTTGCCAGGGAAACAAAAAATGTGGTCTTTGTAGACAGGTGGTCTTTGTGGACAGGTGTTCTTTGTAGACAAGTGGTCACTAAAGCAGGTTCGACTGTACAATCAATAATACAAATTAAAAATTCTGAACCGCAGAAACTGGCATGAATATTTAATGGTAACTATGTGTGCTCAGTCATGAACATACATTGTACTTCATTTCGCTTTCCCTACCCATCTATTTTTTAATTGACAGATTCCTACAAATTAATGGATGGTGGGTCTGTGGAGTGGGCCTTGACTGGATAAACCTACTTCCTAACATATGTACCAATAGTACTACATGTATAAAAATACCCTGAGACACGCAAACATGGAGCAAGATCTGCTGCAATGGCAACATGTGTCTAGGAGAAGCAGGGCCATGATTACTTCTTATTTGGGCAAGATAGAATTGCTGAGGCAAAGGCAGCCTCACTGGAAATACCATCAGGTAGCTAGCAAGATGTGAATGTGTTAGGGTTATGACAATACACGGTCTTCAAAATGTCTTCAAGAGGGATTCCCTGGAAGAGGGCCCAGGACGAAGCTACATGTACACCCTATGGGCGCGTATCTGGTGGGGTAGGATGGTATAAGTCACCTGGGCCCCGTCTTACAAAGAGATGCGATCCAAATCAATCGCAAGTCCTCCAATCAATCGCAAGTTTGCAGTGTCCTATCTCTTATATACATAGTTGCGATTGATATCAACTCTTTGTAAGACGGGGCCCTGGACTATCCATTGAGAGATGGTACCTGGAGAAAATGACCCATGGAGGTCTTTATTAAAGATTAATAAGTTTTTTGAATTATGAAAATATCCCCCCCCCCCAATAAAAAAAAATAAATAAATGAAAATAAAAAAAAATAAAATAAAGAGACACCTTAATTTAAGCCTCGGTCACAAATGCCATTACAAACTGCTACGAACGCCGTACGAACGATTTTGAGACAATGGAAATTCGGGAAGACAATGGAAAAACGGAGATTTGTACGAAATAATCGTTCGTACGAACCTTTGTAACCGCTGCATAAAGAAAAATAACAAAATTTACAACCTTCATAAAACTTTCCATGGAAAAAGCAAAGTAAAGCAATTATCTGTCCTCCCTCTGTAATTCTGCCTGTATGTCTCTCTCTCTCTCTCTCTTCATGTACTACTCGCTAAAAGTATATACATTATCTCTTTCTCTCTTCCAATTTCAAAACCACTCTTCCAAGTTCTAACCTTCCCCTTTTTACCCCTCTCTATCTTAGCTTCCCATAAATTCACTCAATCTCTTTTCGCAAAGATTTCTGTCTCTTCTTTAATACTCATCCACACTGTCCAGAGTTTCATATCACGCAACGATATCAATCACCAATGAATATTCAATCTCAGATACTGCTGTTTCATTGAATGGCTAGACAGGCGATTACACACATACATGTAGGTTGTGATTTCTAGGACATTAGGAATTCAGTTTCTTCTTTTGACTCAAAGGACCCCTAACTCAAAGACGTAACTTCAGTGATTCTCAGAGACTTACTGTATTCTTGCCCATTAATTTACAAGATCCTCCACCAAAGTGTATGAGGCAGGCATAAAGCAAGAATAATGAACAGTTTCTTAGCGCGACATGAACATCATCTTTTTCTATTATTGAATTAAAAAGTCTTTCCAACTAAAGTTTGGTGCATGATACATGTTCACCTTTGCCTGGTAGGTCACATATCTTAAGAAAATGGATGCGCCCATGTCATGCTAAAAGACTTTACATCATGCCAAGAATATCTTCAAATGTTTCTCTCGTACACTTTCGAAAGGAATATTGTATCAAAGGGCAGTAATACGTCTCTTTTTTCTGAATACCTACACTTATCCTTTAGGCTGAGGTTCTTTTAAAGGTTAGTGCTTCAAAAAGAGGGAATTTCCCTTTGAAAGGAATATTGTAAATCGAAGGGCAGGAGTACATCTCATTTTTCTAAATACCTACACTTATCCTTTGGGCTGAGGTTTCTTTTAAAGGTTAGCATTTCAAACAGAGGGAATTTCCTTTTGAAAGGAATATTGTACATCGAAGGGCAAAAATAAATCTCTGTTTTCTGAATACCTACATGTACACTTATCCTTTGGGGTGAGGTTTCTTTTAAAGGTTAGCTTTCAAACAGAGGGAATTTCCCACATGAAACCTGACAAACCATGTATGATGCAGGCTTCACCTTTCCGAATTATACAATCTACTCATGCAACATCCATGCATCGATTTGCGATTTCACCTCTGCGGAGTTTCCGCTACTTCTTCTTAGGCCCCAATCAGACATCACATGAGATGGTGAATGGTCTAAAAAAAAGCTGAGATATTTCTATATCCTACTGTATAACAAACAAATCCCCTGGTACCCAATCATGTAGGGGCATTGTTGCACACATCTATGGATTTTCCCTAAACAATTCTTTTTTTCATTCACTGACATAATTTTTTTTCTCATTTTGCGGCTGCGATCCTACTTTTTACATATAATTTCATGTGGTTTACTGCACAATGACAGTACATGTACCTCTAATCATGAGGATAGATCTAGAAATTTTCAGCAGTGCACTTACATGTACATTCAATCCATTACAAAAAATTATTCATCCAAATAATAAATGACGATGATACACAAAATCATTCGTGGATTATCACTTCAACAATTCCAGCTTCATATTGGAAGCATCTAACTTGTGAACAATATTTATGCTTCATACAGGGTAATAGCATAAAATCAGATTCAGTACAAACACATAACAGTGGCAAATGTTCAGGCTGAAAAAATATTCAAGACCAGTATCAAATAAAGCAATATTTGGTGCTACAGTGAGGAGAGAATGAACACAAAATTTACCAAAAACCTGTTGATATTCTTTGGTGGATATAAGTGAGAATGTTTCAATACTAGACCACATATCTTGCCAAATCAATATATCCAAGCAATAATTCTACAAGTCACTGAAGTCAGTTCTATTCAATATAAAATTAAGATCACATTTTCTATCAATATAGTTGATTTGATATTGCAATCAACAGGTGACTGAACAAGAAATTAAAAGATTAAAGGAGATGGTTTCTTTCATAATGCACCAGAAAGTAGACCATGTGTTATTCACCCGAATAGGAAGAGCCTCTTCTGTCCCTCTTCGAAGATCATTCAATCGGTTATTAAAGTCCCTAGATATACTTTATAATAACAAGCCCATCCAGGCTGAGTGAATTTGATTAATGAAACAAGTCAGTGCAATCCAGACCAAGCAGATTTTCTTCTGGAATTCCGAACCTGTTTCAACACATTCGCAAAAACAAGGAAGCAATTCTCTGGGGGTATCATTCTTCGCTCAAAGGGTTCATTTGGAAGCGATGCCATTAAGGTGTTTAATTTTTAACTTAGTTCTGCCTCTAACTGTTTCCTTTCGCTTTTCAGGCTCATGAAGTGTGATGGAGTTTGGAAGTAATTACCAATTTTGTGAGTGGAGCCATGTTTGAAAAAACAGGGCAAAGAACTGGAGGGTACACTTGGTGTGCATAAAAAAAGTTCTTTGCCGAGCTTTGGGGCTGTTTTCACACACTCAACAAATTAAAAATCAGGCATGATACCACAAACAACGTCGTGCAGATATCGTAAACAAAATAAGCTAAATATAGAATGAATTCTAACAACAATCCTTTACATCTCAGAGGAACATACAACCTTTAAAAACAGATGATACTGAAGGACTCTATATTGTCATGAGACTACAATGTACATATCAAAGTAAGAGAAGAGAAGATAGTAAGAGAAGAGAAGATAGTAAGAGAAGAGAAGATAGTAAGAGAGAGGGAAGAGGAGATAATAAGAGAGAGGGAAGAAGAGAGTGACAGAGAGAGGATAAGTTGAAGAAAAAAGAGCAGAAAAGACATACAGTGACACACTAAAGACTACAAATGAAATAATGTATAGAATGAGTGAAAGGGAGAGAGGAAAGCAGGAGGGAGACAGTTAATTACCTTTAACTTTTTCTCAAATTCATTTCAGTTTATGCATGGATATTATAAGCAGATGCAACCTTGCTTTGATGTTGAAATGAAGTTTTAATTCTATTATCGCAATATTATGTCCTGAATTATGTGGCTATTATGTTTATTTGCTTTCTTTTTGTAGGTTATTTGCTAGATGTATGCAGGCCAATATTATCACGATTGTGCCAGGAGTGTTAATTTCGATAGACATGGCACATTAAAAATGTCCACTATCAATACTATTATTATTATTATTATTAAGAGGGAGAGAGAGATGGAGAGTTAGAGAGAGAGAGGGAGGGAGAGAGAGAGGGGGTAATATTGGATGTAAGATAGAATATAACAAAAATTAATGAGAAAGAGTCATACAATGAAGCACTTTAAATATTATCAGGGGACTTCACATGAATGCATATTGTAGAGAACGAGCAGAAAAAAGGGTGAGAGAAAAGGGTAAGAGAAAGAGAGAGAGAGAGAGAGAGAAAGAAAGAGACTGATTGAGAAAAAAAAAAGAGGAGATGAATAACACAAATGGGAAGAAAAAAAAGGTGAATACTAAAGCACTCAACATATCATCATGGGACTACTAACATGAAATCATCCTGGACAGGAAATAGTTTATAAGAGGAAGATAGGAGAAAGTATGAGGGAGAGAGAGAGAGAGATAGAGAGAGACTGTCAGAGAGAAAGAAATACCTAAAATTAAAATGTAAACAAAAAAACCTTGGAGAGTGAGGCATGCTATTAACAACATGGGACTGCAATATAAAGCATACTCAAATGATTGAGTGAAAATTAGAGGGAACAGCAAGTAAGAGAGACAGAAAAACAGAAAAAACATATATATATACATTTTTTTCTTTCTAAAGGTGAAGAAAAAAAAAAGAAGCACTTTATATATCATCATGGGGTTACCAATGAAAGCATACAGCACAGAACGAGTGAAAAGAGAGCAAAAACAAGAAAATAAATAGAAAGGAAGAAAGTGAAAGAGAAAGGATAATGACAGGATAAGGGTACAAACTATGGGAGTTTCTATAAAGCATTCTTAAATCAAACTATACAATGAGTTTGAGGAGAGGAAAGAAACGGTAAGAGAAAGAGAGATAACAAGGAAATGGTTGGAAAAAATACAAATTACGAACAAAGAGAAGAGAATATACATGTATGATGAAGAACTCTACGTATATCTATCATTGTGGGCCTACAAATAAAACCATGCAGTAGAGAGGAAATAGAAAGGAGAGGAAACAGAAAGGAAAAGAAAGGTAGAGTAAAAGTGAGAGAGAAAGACAGAAAAGGTACTTAAGGTAGAAAAAGAAAGGGAGAAAAGAAAATATGAAGTACTCAACATATATCATCATGGGAATTTGAATGAAAGCATGGATTTAAGAGTCTCTTACCGTCATTAATATGCCTGTAAGGTGCCTCGACCGCTTCAATTTCCTCTTGGCTGGCTAATTTAGCCGCTGCGGCTATCCATAGTCTTCCCCTGTGAGGGGAATACCAGGTCCTTCCCTCGTGCCTGCCAGCCGGAGAAAGGAAGAGAAAGAAAGAGCAGAAACGTTGATGAAATTCAATTAGCGCTTGTCATATGAACATTCTTTTCCATTCCAATGGCTCTGTTCACATATGATGTGATAACATTCAATTAAGGATTGTCATGTGAACGTTCATTTCTTTCCTAATGTTTCTGTTCACATATGTGACCCGGCACCACAAAACCAACAAAAAGTCGCAACCAGCGATTCTCCCTAATCAGCTAAAATGTCAATTTAGGTGAAAAAAATAGATTTTTGTTTTTTTGCATTTTCTGAAAGAGTGGTCTTTTCTGTACCTAGTATCAAAATTTGGAAGTCTAAAACATAGTAGAAGATGTGTTTTAAACGGTTTTTCTAGACCAGTTTTTTTTCGCACAGCCTTCGGTCTCTTCCAAAATTTGATCACTTTTCCCGAGCGAAATTATCGTAGTCCGGAAATGGTCGGTCGTTGCTAACGGGTCGTGCTACGCGGGCTGTGATTGGTCCGTTATAGCAATCAGTGCGGCGCGCCATTTTGTTTGTATCCGCTTTCACATCCGAGTTCCAGATTTGCGTTCGTCTTATATTCTCCGTTAACGACTTCGAGTAGCTTGATTGTACATCACATATCCAGAATTTGTTGATCAAGAGTAAGAACATTATTATATTTTATACATTTGAGAGTGACAAGTTGCGAAAAAGTCTACAACGTCGTTACAATGCCATGTTGTGTACGTGAGCAGAGCCGTGGGATGTGCTTCCAAAATCTCCCATAAGAGTTTTGAAATCAAGTTCTTATTGTAAACACACATTCACACTCTTGATATCATCATTTTGCTTACAGCTATCATAATTCTCCCCCTTCTTTTCCCTCTCTGTCTCTCTCTCTCATTCTTTCTATTTTTCGTTATTCTATGTTGGTGTCTTTACTGTGTGTCTCCTGCCTTTCTTTATTTTTATACCACTTTCTGGCTGGTATTTATGAATTGCTTCCATTAATTATCATCAGGATGGCTACTGGAAATGAAAGAGCAAGTCATAGTAAAAATACTTTGAACCTCCTGTGAGAAAGAAAACAGTATGGGAATTAAGTATAAAGCAAGTTCATAATGTGGTTACAAATAATTGCCCAGATGTATACAAAACAAGATAGGTGACAAGCAGTGTTATGTAAGGGGGAACAAAAAGACTCCGGGTCCACCATGAATAGGCATTGTCTAGTGCAGGTGTCTCGGCACTATGTTGCAGTTCACTTAATCTGTCCAATTACAACTCTATACATTTACAACATAATAACTTTTGAAAGACTTAAGTCCACACATTGAAACCTCAGAAACATAATGAACAGACTATGTTTGACCATCAGGCCAAATTTCAGCCTAATCTGAAAATCTCTTCATAGTGGTTGCTATGGCCTTTTGATTCACCCTTCTATTGATTTCCCTGTGGTTTGCTTGCTCCGCATGCTTGAATAGCCCCAAACTTTAAAGCTCTCTTTCTCACAATTTAATACCAGTAACCTCCCTCACCAGCTCTTTTCATTCACTAAATTGAAAGGGTTAGGAAGCTTCAATTTGGACAAGTAATATACCATTTTAATGAGGAGAACTTCTTCTTTCATAATCAGATGAAATCAGGAAAATAATTTTTTGCGACTTTTTGGTGGTTTTGTGGTGCCGGGTCACATATGATGTGGTAACATTCAATTAATGCTTGTCATATGAACATTAATTTCTTTCCTAGTGGCACTGCTCACATATGAAGTGATGAAATTTCAATTAATGCTTGTCATAGGAGCATTCATTTCTTTCCTAGTGGCACTGCTCACATATGATGTGATGAAATTTCAATTAATGCTTGTCATAGGAAGGAGCATTCATTTCTTTCCTAATGACTGTGTTCACATATGACGTGATAACATTCAATTAAGGCTGGTCATATGAACATACAAAATTTCTATTCTAATGGCTCTGTTCACATTTGACTTGATGCACTCTATTCATATGAACATTCATTTCTTTCCTAATGGGTCTGTTCACATATGACTTGATGAATTCTATCATCGCTTGTCATATGAACATTGATTTCTTTCCTAATGGGTCTGTTCACATATGACTTGATGAATTCTATTAACGCTTGTCATATGAACATTCGTTTCTTTCCTGATGGCTCTGTTCACAACTTCACATATGACGTGATGAAATTCAATTAACAATCGTCATACATGGACATGTGTATGAACATTCCTTTCCTCTCTTTTCCCAATATTTTGTTATAATGATTTTTTTTCTTTTTCTGGACATTTACAATTGATGAAATGTTATCAAGAAATATATTTGATGCAAGATTTTAACACTTAGTCACTAATGTTAGATAAATGACAAGCCACAGGGCATATAATGCTTCAAAAGGGGAAAATTTAGGGAAAATCAATAACTGCTTCTAGGGTACTTGGAAAAACTATACTTATCTAATTAACTTATAAACTTATTGATTAAAATGTTATATAAGAACAAGATGTAATGGTGGTATAACATTTTTTTTTTAACTAAAGCTACTAAGAATTGTTCAATACAAAGTGAGTGCTGGGAGAACAAGACATAGTTTTTCAACAATTTACAGTATTAAATTTCTGGCTGGAAAAACTATACTAATGTAATTTACTAATAAATTTATTGATTAAAATGTTATATAAGAACAAGATGCAATGATTGTATAACATTTTTTAACTAAAGCCTCTAAGAATTGTTCATTACAAAGTGAGTGCTAGGAGAACAAGACATAGTTTTTCAACAATTTACAGTATTAAATTTCTGGCTGGTAAAACTATACTAATGTAATTTACTAATAAATTTATTGATTAAAATGTTATATAAGAACAAGATGCAATGATTGTATAACATTTTTTAACTAAAGCCTCTAAGAATTGTTCATTACAAAGTGAGTGTTAGGAGAACAAGACATAGTTTTTCAACAATTTAAAATTAAAAAGACTATACTAATATAATTTCCTTATAAATTTATTGATTGAAATGTTTTTATATTAGAACAAGATGTAATGATTGTATAACATTTTTTAACTAAAGCTACTAAGAATTGTTCATTACAAAGTGAGTTTTGGAGAACAAGACATAGTTTTTCAACAAATTACAGCTGACAAAATTATACTAATGTAATTTACTAATAAATTTATTAATTAAAATGTTATATAAGAACAAGATGTAATTATTGTATAACATTTTCTTTACTAAAGCTACTAAGAATTGTTCATTACAAAGTGAATTTAGGAGAATGAGACATAATTTTTCAACAATTTACAGTATTAATTTTCAGGCTGCCCCAAAACAATTAAAGAACAAGCCGAGTTATACAAGTTCCGGCAAAGAATTAATTACGCTTATGTGTACTGAGTAAGTATTTCCCACTGGATTTCCATGATATTTTCATTTCACATTTTGTATTCCCAGAGGGTTTGTTCTACTTGTACTCTCTACCCTGGCGATTTCTTTTTTTCTTCTTGAAAATCCGTTTTGAATTAGGGAACTTCCCTCTCTGAAACAAAAACCTCCTTCAATTTTATTTTGTAACAACGCAGCAGGTAGAAATTGTTCCCTTGTCGAATTACACATGTATATTCTAAGGCTATAAAAAGCTGATCCGACTGAATTTCAAAGAAGTTTTAAAGAAAATTTCAAATGTTACATGAAGGAAAAACAAACCAACTTGACATTCTCACAGTTTACAAAGTTTACAAAGCTGCCCTACTTATCTATTCTGCAAGCTTGGGATACATAAGTGTCCGTTTACCAGTTACATCCAACCACTGCACTGACAGTGTTATCATTACCCTGGTCACTAGATTCAATTATTCCACACTTTGCAGTGCACATTCTCTACTTCCTGGGGAACATTCCAGCTAGTCAGCGTTTTTACGGGGTGCACACATATTGATTCAAGTGCTATCTTCTAAAGTAAAATCATGTATGTCTGATCCGATACCAGCACAAGTCTTTAGGCAATGCATGGAGGAACTTCTACCAGCCATTACAGACATTACAAATCAGTCTCTGCAGTCAGGAGTCTTTCCTGAAGCTCTCAAGTCTTCTTTGATTATACCAACTCTTAAGAAACCTAGCCTTGATCCTGATTGTCTTCGAAACTATCGGCCTATCTCAAATCTTCCCTACCTCAGCAAGATCATCGAACGAGTTGTATGTCAGCAACTTATGACCTATCTGAGGGACAACGCTCTGCTTGCTTCAAGACAGTCAGCTTACAGACCATCATTTAGTGTTGAAACAGCTCTGACAAGAGTGCAAGATGACCTATTGAAAATCAATGATGACGGCAATGAAGCAATGCTGGTTCTGGTTCTCCTTGATCTTAGCTCAGCTTTTGAAACTGTTGATCACAGCATCTTGCTGAAGAGGCTCTCAGCCTCCTTTGGCATCACCGGTGCTGTAAAAACATGGCTTGCCTCTTACCTGGAGGGAAGGGAACAACGAGTACTCATTGACGGTAAGACGTCCAGCTCTGAAGTGATTAGATGGGGAGTACCACAGGGGTCAGTGATAGGCCCACTGTTATTCATCTGTTATACAACTCTTCTTCAGAGTATTGCAGAGCAGCACAACGTTGAGTGCATGATGTATGCTGACGACTTGCAGTTGTACACAGCTATGAATCCTGCTACGAGACACGAGTCAAAAGAAAGACTAGAGTTATGTACCACGGAGATTCGCAATTGGATGAAGGATAACATGCTTGTTATCAATGATGGCAAAACTGAAATGCTTCATCTAACATCATCCAGGAAGCGTGGCTCAAATCAGGAACTGTCTCCACTCACGGTTGGTGACACCAGCATTTCTAGCAGCACAACTGTTCGAGACCTTGGAGTTGTGCTAGATAATCACTTAACTCTACGTCAAAATGTGAACTCCATCTGTCGGAATGCATCACTATCTTTCTACAAAATCGGAAAGATAAGAAATCTCCTCGACAATCACACAACTGAGATCCTTGTCCACTCCTTCGTCACCTCTCTTCTCGATTCTTGTAATTGTCTCCTCATAAATCTCCCCAATAAAGACATCGCCAAGCTTCAGCGAATTCAAAATTCAGCTGCCAGACTAGTTTCCAAATTACCAAGGCAAGAGCACATCACTCCCACTCTTCAGGAACTCCATTGGCTGCCCGGATCCCAGAGAATCCAGTATCACTCTAACTTTCAAAGCACTTCATCAACTCACTCCCAGCTACATATCTGAACTTGTTACACCTTACATACCCACTCGATCCCTCCGCTCTGCATCTCAACACCTAATTGAACCCACGAAAGACAGGACCAAGTCATACGGATCCAGAAGATTCTCATCTGCAGCTTCGCATCTCTGGAACTCTCTCCCCACTACTTTCCGAACCATCACAGACTTAGCTTTCTTTCAATCTCAACTAAAAACCTACCTGTTTAAAAACGCTTTCTAATGTCATTTAAACTGTATTATTGTATTCATCAAAATTTAATTACATTACTGTACTCTTATATAATTTGCCTTCATTTCTGTGTTATGGATGTATATAATGTTTGATTATTAATCTTTTCCTTATTTTGATATATATCTTTAGTTCATGAATTAGTTGTTATGTGTAATTTTGTTGTATTAATATTGTAAAGCGCATTGCTATTTTCTTCGAAGATGAAATGCGCTATATAAGTCTAGGTTATTATTATTATTATTATTATTATTAACTGGGGCTCAAACCCATGACCTTTGCATGCCTAGTTAAGGGATTAAACCACTCAACTACAATATCTCCAGAAAAGTTACACTGGCAGTTAATAATAGGCATGCTGCTGATCAATGATATAGGCCAAAGCTGCACGTGTGTAAACACAGTACACACTGGGCACATACATATACATACATGTATGCTCTCGACTCTCATTAAAGCTGGTTATTGTCAAACCTTTGCCAATCTGGGTTTTTTTTCTTCTTCTCCAGTTGTTTCTTTTTATGAAGGGTTCATTCCTTATGCCACACATGCTCTTGACTTTCACATTTGAAAGTTTTAATGTTTAAAGTTTCCTATTCCATGTCCGGTTATGTCACTATGAGGGCCGACTTCCTTCTCACATTGTAAACAACTCATTTTACACAAGCGGGAGTATCGTGGTCGAGTGGTTTAAGGCGCTTGACTTGGAGATGCGAAGGTCGAGGGTTCGAATCCCGACACCGGCACTAATATCCTTTGGCAAGATATTAACCTGCACTTGCTGCTCTCCACCCAGGTGTTAAATGGGTACCCGGTAGGATGCGACCGTCATTGTTGGTCAAACAGTTTTTGAGCGTCATGTAACACCTGGCTGGAATGCTCCCCAGGGAGTGTAGATCGTGCACACAGTCTGTGCGGGCGAGCATTGAATCCAATAACCGGGGTAATAGTATATTTGTAAAGTGCTTAGAGACATTTGTATTAAGCGCTATATAAAAATTAAATATTATTATTATTATTATTAAGAGCAAATTTAATCCATATATGATATTTCTTCCATTTTGAGAATACTGAACACCCAGTAGCACTCAGACTAGTGGCGGATCCAGGGGGGGGGGGCCCGGGGGCCCGGGCCCCCCCCCCCCTTGAGAAAAAAATCATGTAAAATCACGTGATTTTTACCTTTTTTGGGGGGGGTTGGGCCCCCCCCCCCTGGCGCTCAAGGGGGGGGGGGGGGGTGCAAATTGAAATTTTTTTGAGGATCAAAAAAAAAAAAAAATGTGCTCACTATCCCCCCCCCCCCCCCCCCCCCCCCCCCCACTGAGCGAATTTTTGGCCGGCGCGTTTTTCAAATTTTCGGGAGCAAAAAAAAAAAAAAAAAAAAAAAAAAAAATTGTGCTCTGTACCACCCCCCCTCCACTGAGCGACTTTTCGGCCGGCGCGATTTTCAAATTTTTGGGAGCAAAAAAAAAAAAAAGTTGGGCCCCCTCCCCTAAGAAATCCTGGATCGGCGCCTGACTCAGACAGGGGCATTAGATATGTTCACACAGCACCATTGTAGTCTAAACTCACAAGCGGAACCCAACGTTTTAAACAAGGAGTAACTAATCAAACGGATTAGCAAACAATGATTGTTTAAGGTTCAAGCTGCAAGATGGGCAAGCAGTCAATGTAACTACTTAGGTAGCTGTTGAGGCCTGTAAATTAAATGTGTCTGCATGGCTCATAAAGCCTTTGAGTGAAAAACATCCAAAGCTTGTTGTTTTTGCGTTAACCAGAAACAGGCTGATGGTTTCAAATTTAAATTAAATTGTAAGTTTCTGAAACCAAGTGGGCATCTGCAAGGTCCTTAAGGATAAGATAACCATGAAGTTCAAAACCACAAGCTAAACTAAAAGGATATGGTCTGTTGTATAAACCTAGCTACTACCAACAGGTAGGACACTATTTCATCCCGTCCCATTAGGAGGCTTTATAAAGTTCTATGAATAATTCATCGTGTAAACTGCACCTTTCAGTATATGTACATTTTCAAGGTAGTGGTAGCATCAAGCATGAGCAGAAATTCATTTGTGAGTATTATTTGACCCCACGGCATGTTCACACTCACACAATACCATGGTAGGGTTCATTCACACAAGAGAAACGTGTAAAGAAACGCATGTGATGACCAGATAAGTTGATATGTCTAGGTAAATAATTCACTAAGAGTTTTTTTTTCAGTGATACATGTAGGTAATCTTTATTCCATTTGCTCTGGTCGTGGTCGATTGGTTTAAAGGGATCGTTTAACAATGTTAAATCTGAGATACACGGCCCTACATGTTATCAGTGTCTGTGATATGGTGTAATATTGAAGCCCTAAAAAAATTGCGCTTCAAAATGATCAAGAAGTGCCTCAAAAAAGTAAAAAATCTTTGAGTGACCGGTTTTACCATACTCGTTTTCCCCAATAGACTGTAGTGTTATGAAAACCGTCAGGCGAACGGTTTTCAAAATTTGTAATTCCAATCATAAATATCTTGATAATCAGACAGACGATCGGCTTGTAAAAGTCATGGGGTTCCTGACCGACCTAAAGGATTAAAATTATCATTGCATCATGAGCCAAATCCAAAATCTGAGACAAAGTTACCGGATCCCTTTAAGGTGCTTGACTGGAGATGCGAAGGTCGAGGGTTCAAATCCCGACACGGCACTAATATCCTTGGGCAAGATATTAACCAACACTTGCTACTCTCCACCCAGTTTTTGAGCGTCATGTCACACCTGGCTGGAATGCTCCCCAGGGAGTGGAGATTGTGCACACAGTGTGTGCGGGCAAGCACTGAATCCAATGACCAGGGTAATAGTATATCTGTAAAGCGCTTAGAGATGTCTGAGATGTATTAAGTGCTATATAAAAGCTGAATATTATTATTATTATTACTTCATTATTGCCCTGGGATTTGCAAAATCTGTTTTGTTCTTCTTACATTTCTGCTCTCAAGATGGAATTTTCTGTTCCCATATTGTTTAATTATCAATAAAATGATGAACAACACATGAACATACATTCAAATTAAGGTAGAATAAGACTCAGAAAAACTAATATGGAAGGAAAGTGCAACACTTAAATGACAATAAAAGACCTACATATTCATAGAATACAATGAGCACAAGATTTGGAAAAATTGATGATTTAGAAAGATTTTTTTTTTGATGGAATTATTTTGCAACATATTTATTACAGCCACTCTTACACGTACACTCATGATTTGTCCATACCTAAAATGTGAAAACATGTTTCAAAGACAGGCAGACACTCAGTGCATATCTGCCACTATCAACCTAGCCATCTAAAATAGCAGAACACTTCATGGATATGCTCATATCGAGGGTTACCTAGAAAAATTGCTTACCGATGCACAACAGCAAATATAAGTATTCGCTACGTATGTGGACACAGCAAGACAGACCAGGACCCTGTTGCACAAAACTTTCCATTGATGGTAACTTTGCCATCAATGGTAACTACCATGGAAACCTTGATTTTGATTGGCTGTTGAGCCCTGTTACCATGCTAGTTGCCATCGATGGCAAAGTTACCATCAATGGCAAGTGTTATGCAACAGGCCTAGAACATGCAATGTCTATTCAAAGGCAACCTGAAATATAGTTGGCAAGGACAGTTACAGTGTATTAAACAGCATAACTTTCGATGGGAACACATTTAACAGCAAAGGCATAGCAAAATTGAATAGAAGATCAGACTCACTTCTTGATACCAGCCACAAGTAACGACGCCCACGGTTGATGCATGCTGAGACACTGTCCTTGGTCTGACATCTCCATCAGCTCTCTGTCTTGCACGCGAGGGTTGGTCTTGGAGGAACCGTCTCTTCTTGATGATGTCAGATTGCTGGATCCTGGCTTCGTGTTGGTGGGTGTATTGGAAACAAACTGCAATGAGAAACAAGTAAATAAGTTGTTTTTTGATAGTTATTGCTTAAATCTATCCTTAACTTGTATATTTTTCAGCTTGGACAGTTAATGTACAAGCTCAACACTAAACAATTACCTTTGCCTTTTAATGATATGTTCGTAAGAAATGATTTGATTCATAGTTACCTCACTCGCCAGGCGAGCTCTTTTCATCTACCATTAAATAGAACATCTTTTGCACAAAAGACATTTGTTTTTACAGGTCCAAAACTGTGGAATTCTCTTTCAAATGATATTATACAGTGTAATTTGATACAAATTTTCAAAAGGAGACTTAAAAGCTTTCTTCTGAATAGTTACTAGGCTATTGCACTCCCCAATCAAATATAATTTGTAGTGTGACTTTACGCAACTTTGATTGTTTCTTTTTATAAACATGTATGTATTTATCAATGTTTTGCGTTTAAAAGTGATTTTTTGTATTACTGAATCAGTTGTTTTTGTTGTGTTTTTTTTCCTCATAAAATAATAATTCATGATAATTACTTTTACAGGGGCTTACACCCTACAAGCTCTGCTTTTTAGTCGGCCCTCCTTCCCTTTCAATTTCATGTTTATTTTTTTAATGTATTGTATTCTGCAAATTGATCTATATGTATATAAATATGTGAATATGTTAAAATGTACCATCATTGTAAATATAAACGATTGATAGAGGAAAAATAAATGAATTGAATTGTAATTGAATTGAATAGTAAACTACTCTCAAAGAAAGCAGACAAATCAGAGAGCAAGGAAGAGACAGAGGGATTCCCCAAAAGGAGGAAGATTAATTGGGGGTCCACGGGTAATACTTTCCGAAGAAATGTTTTCCTTGCATTTAAATACTAAATTTGAGACATATTTCTTACCCCATCTTGCTTAAAGGGACTACCCATAACATTGTTCAGATGAGAGAAAAATGCTGCTAAGGTAGTGAGGTCAATGATAGATGTACAATTAAAGGTAAAGACCAGTTATGGTCATGCGATTGCATTGTGAAAGAAACGTTGTGGAATCGATCAGAAAAGATTGATCATCTAGCATCTAGCATCTGCAAGGTTCTGGAATCATCAAAATGATAAGAAATTTGGCCCTTTCTTTGTAAAGTTACAAGCACTATACACAGAAAGATGTATATGGGACTACCCTATATCTCTCACAGACCATGAGAGAAACAAATTTACCAAATATATGAATTAGTAGGCGCGGTTTCCCTGCAAATTTGTTATCATCATGTATTAGTCAAAACATATTCTTTCACATGATTGGTAATGAGAGCTTCCATTTCATTTTTTGAAATTGGGGCGTTTCCAATACTGGTCTTTACCTTTAATGATAATCTAAAAGTTTAAGTTGATACAAACACACTTTAGTCCTTGATATCTAATTTCACTTTACATAACCCCATTTTTTCAATTCCAGAATTAAAGACAAGCATTCTTTTGTAAGAAAAATAACAAAATACAAAATAATAATAATAAAGTGATTTTCACAACAAAAACACCCCCAAGTTTCTTTGAGCAGAGTATCTAGCACCCCTACCTTAGGGGCCTCTCTTGTAATGCCGGGGTTCAATATCGTTGCATCATGGAGGCCTCCCTTCGACGACGCCTCCTGCTCGCCTCTCGCTTTATTCCCAAAGACAACCCTCTGCACCACCTCATCGTTGCTGTTGTACATCTCTTCCGCCTCCTGCTCAACGACCTTCCTGCCCGCAAAGTCCAGGTTGAACTTCTTGTTGAGTCTGGACCCGTGCCTCTGCTCCCTCAGCTCCCCCTCCCTCTTCTTCAGCTCGCCCCGCTCCGTGGTGTTCAGCCATTGGTTGGTGTCGCTGGAGAAGTAGTCAGACTGGTCGTCATGGACTTTGGTTCTCCTTACACTGTAAAAAACAAAAGGAATACCCCGGTATGATGTACACCCACAGCTTTGGAATGAGTTGCCAGATGTACTAAAAGAAATATCAACTGTTCTCGCATTCAGGAAAAAATATAAATAGTGTCTTCTTAATAGTGAGTAGTTTATTTGATCTAATTGCCTTTTATGAGATTTATGTAAATATTTATGTTGTGTTTTATGTGATTATGCTATGTTATATTATCGGCTTGTTTGATTGTTTTTTATATTTATATTGATTAATTTATACTGATTTGTTTGCAAATCTTCTAATGTGTTTTAAAAGAGATTTAAAATAAATTGAATTGAATTGAATGTAGCACTAATATGCACAAGTACCATACTGTGTCAATGAGTGCATGAGTTTTACTTGAACTGGGGATTTTTGGGGGCTGTTCTATGAAAATGCATTTCTTCATTATTAAAGATAAAGATACATAAGTTGAGTTTATGGTAAAACTGTGTGGTAAATATGAAGGCCTGTTGGATATTCTTTCTTCCATCCTTGGAATCCAGACAAGGACTGGATAATATTTTGTCATTGATGCCTCCGCCATGGAGCAATTTTACAAACCAAAACAGAAGCAATTTTTAAAATTCAAGTTTGATTGTAATCCACTAAAAGATTCTCAGGATAATGTGATTACAAGCTATTTTTTATATACATGTTTGACCCTTCGATCTTTGACATCATGAGCCTAAAATCTAATCACTTCATTGGCTCTGCAAGATACATGTTGTGTGTTTGATAGTAATCCATCCATTGGTTCTAATGATAATACGTTCACAAGCTATTTTTCATACAAAATGAGCCCCATATCCTTTGACATTTGACCTTGTGACCCCAAAATCTAATCAGTTCATTGGCTCTGCAAGATACATACATGACCCAAGTTTGGCGGGAAACCATTGATGGGTTCTTGAGATAACATGATCACGAGCTATTTTTGCATACATAATAAGCCCTGTGACCTTTGACCTTGAATCTCATGACCCCAAAATCTTGTCAGTTCATTGGCTCTGCAAGATACATACATGACCCAAGTTTGGCTGTAATCCATCAGTTGGTTCTTGAGATAACGGGATCACGAGAACGGGGCGTACAGACGGAAGGACGGACAACCCGAAAACATAATGGCCCGAATTCACAAAGCAAGGTTTGAGCTCAGACCAAGGTTTGAGCTCAAACCTCCTTTTGTTCTTTACAAACCAGGTTTGTAAAAAATGTGTAAAACGTGTCATATGACGTACGAAAACCAAGGTTTGTCGACAAACCTCCTCTGTGAATTCGGGCCAATGTCTTTGGCTACTTTGTTACGGAGGCATACAAATTTCTCTAGACTCTCACCTATTCCTCTTTGTAGATTCAAAGATTCAAGAAAAGAGAACAAAAGGTCCTCCCATGTCTATCACATGGTGTACCAGACACACCACACAGTGTTTCAGAAATCTCCCCTTAAGCCTATACAAGGAGACTGCACACAATTAGTAACAATTAGGGCCCAGGCCATTTTTTAACAGTTGAAGTTTACTTGAGGCACAAGGCGATTTTATGTCTTGACTAAGATGAGAAGTTCTAATCTTCCCACATTGACTGTGCTGCTGGAAGTTGGGGCGGCAGAGCATGAAGCCTGTCATGTGTCTAAAGTCAAGTAATCCCATGGAAACATATGTTAAAGGCAATCCAACCAAAAATAGGAGAACCAGAATGGCGATTTTTTGATATAAATACGACCAATAATAAAAAGTTTTATGTGTTTGAAATATGAGATCACTATAGATCATCTATGCGAATCTCAAATTGGCAATTTGGTCAGTGGATTGTGACGTAGGCACAGAAGCCTCTCCTGTTAATTTGTATGAAAGTGAAAAAATAGGAGAACCAGAATGGTGAAAGTTTGATATAAATCTGGCCAATAATTAGAATGTTATAAGTGTTTGAAATAGGAGATCATTATAGATCATCTACGCGAATCTCAAATTGGCTAATTGGTCAGTGGACTGTGATGTATGCACAGAATCCTCTCCTGTTTATTGTGTACAAAAATATAATTAATTTCTGTTTTTCTCTGAAGCACTTTCTCCGTTTGGGCACTACTCAACATAAATAAATTGAATAGCATATCATTACAGGGGAGTGTTTCAAAAAGACTATATAAAGATCGACTTAAGTTTGACTTGAACTATGGCAGGCCATTCATGCCACTGGTTGCTCTCACCACAGGTCTCAAAAGGGACTTCACAATTCTACAGAATTTACATTTTTGGTAGTTCATTGTTGAAGCAGAAAGGCTACTTACGTTGTAAACTTAAGTTTTATTTAAGACTTGGAGTTATATTATGGTATGCAATTTTTACCCTTAAAAATTCTTGAACCAGATGTAAAATTAGAGGGAAAAACCTTAGAAATTATGATCTTTAGACAACTATTTTTTCCTTCAATAATGAACTATAAAAAAATGTAAATTCTGTAGATTTGTGACCACGATTTGTACGTCCCTTGAGAGACCAATGCCAGGAATGGTGAGAGCAACCATTGGTATGAATGGCCTGCCATAGTTCAATCTTAATCTTTGTGAAACACCCCCCCTGGTCCTCTAAAAGGAAAAGGCCTTCCAGAGTTATACGTTTTGAAGAAAAAAAAAGACATTTTAGTCATTTTGTGTGTTGGAACAAATGGGAAAGTTGTCTGCCACTAGGTAACACTTATAGTGACAATACTGATTCAGCCAATGAAATCCCCATTTCTTTCTTATGTCTGACTTCCTTCAAACTTTCACTAGTGTGTTTCTCTGATTTTTGTGCAAATTAAGTTAAGATTTCCCTATAATTTTACATCACAACTTTCAATGGGATATTGGTGAACTTTAGACCAATGACAGGTTTCGTGACATGCAGTCTGGATGGTCAGATAGTTTAACTCTGAGTGAAACCATATAGTAATCCTGGGGGGTGTTTCACAAAGAATAAGATCGAATTTAAGTTGGACTTAACTATGGCAGACTATTCATGGCACTGGTTGCTCTCACCATTGGTCTCTTAATTATGATCTATATTTTTTTTTAATTCCTTCAATAATGAAACATCAAAAAAGGTAAATTCTGTAGAATTGTGACCACGATTTGTACGTCCCTCGAGAGACCAATGCCAGTAAATGGTGAAAGCAAACAGTGGCATTAAACGGCCAGCCACAGTTAAGTCCAACTTAAAGTCGATCTTAGTCTTTGTGAAACACTCCCCTGTTTTCTCAATGGCACTAACCTTGTTTTATCATACTCAATGAGCTTGTCTTTGTGTGCTATGGCTCGGTCTATACTGTTTGGCTTGTTGCCTGATGCATCACTGTTGGCATGGCCCTCTCCCATCAGTTTCTTCCGTAACTTTTCACTCTTCTTGGAATTTCTGGCGAGGATCTCCTGCTCCTCTTTATTGCACACCTGAAACAGGTAGAGAAGACAAAAAATAGATGGTATGATTGTAAAAAGAAAAAAATGGAAGTAACACAGATGTAGAGAGATAGATAGGCAGACATAACAAAAGGTGAAGAACAAGAAAAAGTGGGAGCAGGAAAGGACAGATAGATTACAGTATTTAAGGTAAAAAAGAGATAGAGGGAGCAAATAATAACTTTTATTTACCCAGGGTAGCCACTTCAGTTATGAAACTGTTCTTCCAGCGGGCCCTGCATAACATAATATGTTATTACTACCCTTCTCCAATCTAATATGCTGAGCGCCTAGCTAGAAGGCAGAAGCTCCCATTGTTATAAGTCTTTGGTATGACTCGGCCGGGGTTCGAACCCACGACCTCCCGTTCATGAGGCGGGCGCTCAAACGACTGAGCCACCATATACAAGACAAATAGAAATACAAGAATGATGGTGAGTGAGAGAGAGAGAGAGATAGAGAATAAGAAATAGAAGAGAACATGAGAAAAGAAATAGACAGCTTCAGAGGACATAAATATAACAAGATGGAAAGAATAAGAGAGAAAAATAATGAGTGTGAAAAGAAAAGATAGAGCAAGAGAATGGGAGAAAGACAGAGGAAGACAAATATTATATATTCATAGTGAAGCATCACTTCAACTCTTTTCAATATCTACTCATATGCTATTGAAACCCCTACAACACTTTTAAACCGAGTACCAACTACAAGCACCCCTCTAAAACATCAACCCTGCTTACTTACCAAAGCACCGCAGAATATACACGGACCGGAACCTTCCTGGCTGCAGACCACTCTCCCACACTCCAGACAGTTGGAGACCAAGGCATGCTTGTGGGCCTGGCACTCGCAAGGATGGCGTCCTGGAAGGTGGATGGTGCTACGGACCTGTCCCTCTTGACTGTAGAGCGGAACAAACTTGGTCTTGCGACGTGCTCCTTGCTGAAGGGCTAGGCTCTGCTCGTCCTCCGGTGAGAGACCATTGCGAGTTGGCTGCTGCTGGAGCTGTAACATTAAAGGCATTGTTTAACAATGTTAAATCTGACCCTACCTGTTATTAGTGTCTGTGATATGGTGTAATATTGAAGCCCTAAAAAATTGGGCTTCAAAATGATCATGGAGTGCCTCAAAAAAGTAATAATCTCGGAGTGACTGGTTTTTCTCATTTTCCCCATTACACTGTAGTGTTATAAAAACTGTTAGGAAAACGGTTTTCGAAATTTCAATTTCCAATCATAAATATCTTGTTAATCAGATAGGCGATCGGCTGGTAAAAGTCATGGGATTCCTGACTGACCTAAACGTTTATAATTATCATTGCAGCATGAGCTAAATCCACGATTTTGTTTCAAAATCTGAGACAAAGATACCCAATCCCTTTAAATGAGTCAATCACTGCATATTTCCAATTTTTTTTATCACCATCCATTCATAAATTCTGTAATTTTGACATCTAGTGAACATACCGAGTGAAGATTTATCGAGTAACACAGATGATATTAGTGTCGACTGACAAATACATTACAAGTTAATAAAAATGCTATTGCAAATATGAAAAGCATTGCTCATTTAGCACAGAGAGATTATAAATGAAGGTTTTCCCTGTTCTTTATAAATGATTTTTTCAATTGGCATATTTTTTTATAGAAATAAATAAATATAAAACAGTTTATGTTAGCATTATGAAATTGCTCTTTTTGCTATGGAGTAGCAAGTTAATTAATTCTGCAAAGATGAAATACAGATAGTTGAACATCTACAGGAACATGCGGCATATTCTCATTAAAGAAGAGTGGGGAATATGTATTACCTGATTTGGTTGCACTTGTGGTTGTAATTGAGGTGATGTATTAGATTTTTGGTTTGATGGTGAAATTGTCTCTTGGCTAGATTTTTTCTCCTTGCTTTTTGATTTGCCCTTGTGTTTTGATACATCCTTCTTAGATTCTTCTTGAGTTGTAGACTTTCTGTAGACCTGATTAGAGAAGAAAACAAAATGTGGAGACCATGTTTAAGACTGCACAAAAGAATTAATGGATAATAGGAAAATTATTTTAAATTAATTTCTCAAATTTCTTAAATCTTAAATATAAAATCATATTTTATTAATTAAAGGGTTCTATTTAGTATGTAGGAAATCTTATTGTTCAAATGATGCCACATGACCGTGCATTATTCTTTCATACCACGCCTACCGTGCAATAAGTTCATCAAAAATTGATCATGCACGACAAAGATGTGTGCATGTGTGTCTCTGGCATGCATTATACAAAGTTAGAATGCACATAAGACGTAGATGAGCATAAAGAGATGCGCAATTTACTGTTTGGCTGCGCTTATGTGATGCCATTTAACAAAGCAAACTCCATGACTATGTAACTCTTGGCGTTTTGATCGGGTCTGTTCTCACTCTGTTGCTTATTTCTTGACTTTAAGATCATACTGTAGTCTATAGACCTGTTTTATAAAACAAATTATTCATGTTTTGAAGCTTGTGCATTAGTGATGTACACTGCACTCAGTGAAGTACCATTGAGATGAATAATGAACTCAGTAAGTCTTGTTCATTATCCATTAGTGACTTGACCCATGTGCAACGAATGATCACTATTAAATGGACTCCCAAACATGAGCTATTTGCATATTGATTGTTAATCTAGAGAAATTATACATGATGTCATTTTCAGAAATCAACAGTTATACATATCCTGTGAGTGATTCTAGGGAACTTCTCATCTTAAGTGTAGACCATAACAATGACCTTAGACCGGAGTCAGTTGGTGACTGAACTTGTTCGTTGTCAATCAAATTAATTAACTCCATTAACTTACATCATTGATTTCCTCTTCTCTTTCTAATAATCATTGTATAATTGAGAACTTTGCATTACCGTAAATCTCCGTGTATAAGGCGCACTTTTTTGCCGCCGAAAAAAATTGAAAGTCGGGGGTGCGCCTTATACACAGGTACAGGAAAGTTTCGATTTATGGCGCTATGCCTGGCAATGTCTCCCAGCTCAGTAATCAGTGTGTTGACTCACCACTCGGAAACTACAAAAACACTTAAATTTGTCTGTCATCTTTGTTTGAAAGTAATCTTTCTAATAGATCTCAATATGTAGTTTATAATAATAATTCCTTGATTTTTTTTAATATAACAAATGGTGTACCACAAGGTTCTATCCTAGGACATAGGTACTCTATTGTTTTTAATTTACATTAATGATCTTACACATTCTTCTAAAAACGTTACATTGAACGTTACCTTTAATGAAGGTCTTTCCCCGCATGGATTTTCGGAAACAAAACAACAACAACAAAACAAAACAGATTTTTTTTTTTTTTTTTTTTCCCCTCCCCAAAATGGGTGTGCGCCTTATACACAGGTGCGCCTTATACACAGAGATTCACGGTACACCTTCTGCTCTATTATAATCTTGGGCACTTACAGTGAAGTTCTGTGGGAGAGCCGGTCCACTGTTTCTCCTTCTCATCAATTCTTCAACAAATTCTGCATTTTTTTTGCTGGAGCTATCCAGCAGTTGACTGAGGTATTCTCTGAGCTCCTGATCATCCCTGATAGCAAGGAGATAACTGTACAGACAGACAGAAAGATGGACATAACGATAAACAGACACAAGTAGGATTTAAAAGACAACAAAGAGATGCTTGTATATTGCTCATTTCTTTTCAATTATTCAGACCTCTTCAAGTCCAAGCATTTGCAACAATGCTGTGAAGAAAGAAAAAAGAAAATTGTTGTCAATACACACCTCACAAACTCATCAGTCGTCTCGGATGCAAGCAGAAGACTCAGTTCTTCTGAACACCATGTTACAAGAGAAGGCGACACTGACATTTTTTTTCCGCACAGTATTCCTGGATAAAAAGGGAGAAGAAAAAGGCATGAAATTTATGAGATGATAGTTGAAAACGAATACACTACACATGATAATAAGCTCCCCACCCTCACCCACTCCCTTGCTGCGCTCGGTTGGGCTGGGTCGCTTCGCTAACGCTTCTCGTATAATCTCACTATCAACTGGTTTCCAATGCAATGATGGCAGCTAGCAGCAATGTGATATGGGAAATTCTTTAATAAATACTGACCACAATCGATATCAGGGACTCAAGCTTTCGGTCTACATCTCTTGTTCCTCCACTTCTCTATTATATTACTACTAATCTTTTTGCAATTCTTGCATGTTTAAAACTCCATCACTGAGTGATACAGTCAAAAGTTTAACTTTATTGTTCATGAACTGATGAATCATTCATGGACATCCCATGTATTAATTAGATGTCATGAAATAGCCAGTAAACCCCTCGAACAGAAGAAAGAAAGAGGGGGATTAGTCACTACTGTAAAATTTGTCAAGGAATTACAGGAAATACACAAGTCCATCGGGCTCAGTCGGTAAAGCGTCCGTCGAACTAAAGAAGTAAAGTCCGGGTTCGACTCCCACCCAGACTGATGACTGAAGCCTGCGTTGTGTGTTAACGTTCCCCTTCCCTTGTTCATAGACGCAGGTTATGTTAAGTGGAAAACACTCTGTCCATCGGATATGACGTTAAATGGAGGCCCCATGTAGAGAAGAGTCACCTCCTTTGCACGTTAAGAACCCACTGCACTATTCATATAGAGTAGGGGAAACCCTGGTGTAGTATGATAATACTCTCTCTAAAGAGGTCTGTACTCAAAAGAAAGAAGAAGAAGAAGAGGAGTAAACGTTCAATGAAGAAGGCTTGAGCCAGAGCTCGCAGCAGCTAGCAGCACACGACCGGCAAACAGCGGCACACCTGTGAAATCGTACGGTGAGCCGTCGGGGTGTAATTCAGTGAACTTACGCACAGATAAGCAACTAGGCGACTGCTATGAAACGTGTCAATGTGACATTATAGAGCAAAAAAAATCATCGAAAACTCACCAAATGTTTCAATACTCTCAGTATATATCTCCTCGAGAATATAATTACAAAAATTCACTTCATATGCATTAACGATATAAACAAGGTAGTCAACGGCGCGGCCACAGTGGGGTGGGGAAGTCCACGTTCGTTCGTCTCGAAAGTCATTGCACCATAATGATAATTTGTTGCTGCCCTCTCGTGTCGATTATGTCGATTGTGTTCAAGAAAGATTATGAGGGAAAACTATGGAAGCTTAAAAGTGCCACCCAGATGTTGAGATAATTATCTTCGGAAGTCGACATCTTGCTAGCGAAAAGATCAGATGTTGAGATAATTATCTTCGGAAGTCGACATCTTGCTAGCGAAAAGATCAGATGACGAGATCTCGGATCTCATCATGTCGACATCCTGTAGAAGAGATGATCAGATGACAAGTTCCGGATCTCATCATGTCGACATCTTTTAGAAGAGATGATCAGATGACAAGATCCTGGATCTCATCATGTCGACATCCTGTAGAAGAGATGATCAGATGACAAGATCCTGGATCTCATCATGTCGACATCTTTTAGTATAGATGATCAGATGACAAGATCCCGGATCTCATCATGTCGACATCTTTTAGAATAGATGATCAGATGAGAAGATCCCGGATCTCATCATGTCGACATCCTGTAGAAGAGATGATCAGATGACAAGATCCTGGATCTCATCATGTCGACATCTTTTAGAATAGATGATCAGATGACAAGATCCCGGATCTCATCATGTCGACATCTTTTAGAAGAGATGATCAGATGAGAAGATCCCGGATCTCATATGTCGACATCCTGTAGCAGAGATGATCAGATGACAAGATCCCGGATCTCATCATGTCGACATCTTTTAGAAGAGATGATCAGATAACAAGATCCTGGATCTCATCATGTCGACATCCTTTTGAATATCTCAGAAACATTTTTGAGCAAATTTCAATTGGCTTGCAAAAGTCAGAATGGGCCTTCCAAAGACAAATTATTCTGTAAATATTTTCCATAATACAAAGTTACTAAACACAGATTTTTTTTGGATGATACAAAATATATACTAATAGGGTATTATTTCAGTTCCTCTTCATAATTGAACCATCAAATTGTCCACAATTTAATGAAAAGTAATTTAGTTGCATTTCTCCCGCAATACCATCACTGCCAGCCTGCCCAATCACTTGTGTGTGCGATACACACATTTCATGATTTTGTTCAAATTTGTATGGAGGTATATATCACTGTAAGACCTGATTAATGCCTCTGTTGTTGTTTTTTTTCATCAATACGGACCAAGGTCAAATTTCAGTGAACTTTCCTGAAAAGCACTTAACTCAATAATCTTTCCCAGCAATAAGATACGTTCACACCATAAATGAATCTTTTTAAAATGCATAATGGTCAGGTCATGTACACTAGCTTGCAAACATTTTAATTTTAATAATCATGATTTTGTTTTTACCCTTTTGCTTGTACTGTACCAAACATTGCAAGTTTATTAAACTTTGACAACTCTTTTTGACACAAAAGATATTATTTCATGGGGGTCTGGGGATACAATTGCGTTGTACGTCAACATACATTGCTGTTTTTTGTTTTTTGTTTTAATTTTATTGTTATGATTTTGTACTGTTATACAGAAGGAAAGTGAAGGCAGTGAGAGTAGCAGATGAGATCTGGGATCTTGTCATCTGATCATCTCTTCTAATGGATGTCGACATGATGAGATCCGGGATCTTGTCATCTGATCATCTCTTCAAAAGGATGTCAACATGATGAGATCCGGGATCTTTTTAACTGATCATCTCTTCTGAAGGATGTCGACATGATGAGATTCGGGATCTTGTCATCTGATCATCTCTTCAAAAGGATGTCGACATGATGAGATCCAGGATCTTGTTATCTGATCATCTCTTCTACAGGATGTCGACATGATGAGCCCAGGATCTTGTTATCTGATCATCTCTTCTAAAAGATGTCGACATGATGAGATCCGGGATCTTGTCATCTGATCATTTCTTCTACAGGATGTCGACATGATGAGATCCGGGATCTTGTCATCTGATCGTCTCTTCTAAAATGATGTCGACATGATGAGATCTGGGATCTTGTCATCTGATCATCTCTTCTAAATGATGTCGACATGATGAGATCCGTGATCTTGTCATCTGATCATCTCTTCTAAAAGATGTCGACATGATGAGATCTGGGATCTTGTCATCTGATCATTTCTTCTACAGGATGTCGACATGATGAGATCCGGGATCTTGTCATCTGATCATCTCTTCTACAGGATGTCGACATGATGAGATCCGAGATCTCGTCATCTGATCTTTTCGCTAGCAAGATGTCGACTTCCGAAGATAATTATCTCAACATCTGGGTGGCACTTTTAAGCTTCCATAGAAAACTGAAACATTGTCACGTTGAAGAATGTCAGATCTGAGAACTTTATTTTTTTTTAATGTATCTATTTTAAGGGAAGCCCTCCTCATCACAAGCTCAGGTTTATTTGAGGTATTCCTACTTTTTATGATGTTTAAATTTGTTTGTTTCATACAATGTTGCGTTTTTTGGATTTGTTTTGCAATTGAGCATTTTCCAATAGATTGTTATCGTGACTGGAGGGCTGCCGGTCTGTTAATAATTCCAATTAATAAGGAGTCTTGAAGCTATTGTGGGTTTGAAGCGTTTTACGAAAGAAATGGCATATCAAGGTGTTATGGCATCCTAGGCAAAAAAAATGAAATAGCCACCCACTCACGCAATTTCATCTACTCTTAATTACTTTCAAGGCGAGGGGAACATATTGACCGAGTGGTAGATATTTTTATTTACATTTTTAACCATTAAAGGGCAATTTTCGGCATTATACACAAAGGAGCAAGGCGGTAAAGTGGAAGAATTTAAAATAAAAATTTTAACATTGATAAATGGTTTTCATTTATTTTTTATTTTACAAATAACCTAAGCAAAGTCTTGTCGGAAACTATATAGGCAGCCGAAAGTTGATACGTTTTCTATTTGAACCTTGGCAAATGCTATTATTAAGCTTGTTTATTCGAGGCACAATATTTAAGATGATCATGATATTTATAATTGGGAGCACAGCAACGAGAATTGCACTTTCCTCTGTTGAACCATTTACATATCATTTGTAAAGTATATCAAACATTGGGGCGCTAAATAATTACGAAATCCTGAAGCAACATAATTTGTGCGTGAAGGCAAAGTGACTCAGATTTTGACATTCTCGAATTTTGAACTAATTTCTAATGCAATTTAAGAATGGTCACTACGGTCTTCTCTTCCCTTCCTTCACCCATGCATCGCTTACATCTACTCCTTCCCGCATGCACTCCCCCTTTCCCAGTAATTCTCTCTCTCTCTCTCTCTCTCTCTCTCTCTCTTTCTTTCTCTCTCTCACACTCTCTCTCTCTCTTTTTCTCTCTCTCTTTCTCTCTCTCTCTCTCTCTCTCTCTTTCTCTCTCTCTCTCTCTCTCTCTCTCGCCTTTTCTGCCCCTAACTCTCTTGTTATATCCGTCGGCCATATACATGTTATTTTCCATATCACGCATAGAGTATGCAGGGAGGTGAGACTTTAACTCACATACCCTGGAGTATGTAATGAGAGCGCCATAGACATGAGTCTTTATGTATAAGGGCATGTTGAATAAACTTGACACAGCACTGATGCAGGCCTACCACGGGCACTACAACTATTTCATCTGGTTCCAAAAGGACGCGCAACAGGACAAGGCATGTGCATAATTTAGCCCCCCCCCCCCCTACAACGAATACGCGCTGAGAAACGTCCCTTTAAACACAGCGTTGCCGTCGAGTTTAAGGATATTATTGAGTTCTGGTAAAATATGTTCTCACATAATCCAACAAAACTGAATTCTCAAGATTACAAATAAATAACATGTGCCGAACAATTTCGGAAGAGAATGTATAGGGGCTGAGTAATGAGCATAGAAATATAAGAGGCTCGAGGCAAGTAGGCCCGACACCATGTGCTTTAAACATGTCACTATGAGCACATGAGAGGCGTGGTTTATATTGACGGTGATTTCCAACAAGTTTTTATGAGTCTGTTTTTATTTTACTGGCTCAAACAAAACTACTGCAAGATAAACAATCCCGAATCAATTACAGCCATGTTCTCTCAACATACAATTTCCATACCAGAGCTCACAATTAGCTTTATGCAGTTTGAAGACGAAAGATCTTCATAACATTCATCAAGATTTAGTACATATTATATCGCTCCTTATCTTCTGTCTGTTTATATCCTATTCGTATTAAGCTATTACTCCGTAACTTAATATAACAAAAGAAGTTTCAGTCAACAAACAAAAGAGTAGAGATGAATAGAGAGTGTTTTGTGACGACTGATAGTTTAATCACTATTTATCAGAAGAACAAGACTGCACGGAACATCAAATATCGAATATATTTTTAACGAATCAAACAAAGCGCATATCATACCATGCGGTGCAACTAGTTTTACATTTCATTTAGTTCTTTCGTGATTCAAAATTAATGTCGAACAAAAACCCTAAAGTTTTTGATATCCCAATTTGGAGTAAGTTCACTAGCCTTGTCCGTCAGCTGTTTAAATGTGCGAACATGGAAATGACTTGTTATAATCCGAAACATGATTTCGATCGGCAATATAATAGCGTAATGGTATGACCTTTGGCTTGATTTGAAACTCTTTGCGATCAGACATGCTTATGTAATCATAATCGATACTTAGTTACAGGTCATACAAATTCGACGAAATTATTATAATAATTATAATAATAATCCGTTTTTTATATAGCGCTCAATACACCGATCCAACGATGTGCCTAAGTGCTTTACAGATATATTATTACCCCGGTCATCGGATTCAGGCTTACCCGCACACAATGTGTGCACATTTTCCATTCCCTGGGGAGCATTCCTGCCAGTCGCCATTTTACAAGCGCACACTTGCTCGTTCAACCACATGAACGTTCGCATCCTACCGGGTACCCATTTAACACCTGGGTGGAGAGTAGCAAGTGCAGGTTAATATCTTGCCAAAGGATATTAGTGCCGTGTCGGGATTCGAACCCTCGACCTTCGCATCTACAGTCAAGCGCCTTAAACCACTCGACCACCACACTCCTGATTATTATGTACAATCTGATGTGAATGCTCTTTATCAAAGAAAGATTTCTTTTAATCATAGAATCAATTATAGCCATGTTCTCTCGACATACGCTTTCGACATCTCGACATTAGCTTTATGCAGTTTGAGGACGAAAGGTCTTCATAACATTCAAAAAGATTTAGTAACACATCATATCTACGGTCCTACTGCGTTCCACCTAAGTCTATAGGACTCCTTATCTTCTGTCTGTTAATATCCTTTTCTTATTCTACAAAAGATATTACTCATTAGAGATATTACTCCTTAATTTGATAAAACTAAAGAAGTTTCAGTCAACAGACACAGGAGTAGAGGTGAATAGAGAGGTTTTTTTTGGTGACTGGTAGTTTAATCACTGTTTATCAGAAGATCAAGACTGCACAGAAAATCAAATACTGATTATATCTTTAAAACATCAAAGAAAGCGTTTATCATACCACACGGTGTAACTAGTTATACATTTCATTCAGTTCTTTCGTGCTTCAAAATGAATGTCGAACAAAAACCCTTAAAGGTAAAGACCAGTATTGGAAACGCCCCAATTTCAAAAAATGAAATGGAAGCTCTCATTACCAATCATGTGAAAGAATATGTTTTGACTAATACATGATGATAAAAAATTTGCCGGGAAACCGCCTACTAATTCATATATTTGGTAAATTTGTTTCTCTCATGGTCTGTGAGAGATATAGGGTAGTCCCATATACATCTTTCTGTGTATAGTGCTTGTAACTTTACGAAGAATGGGCCAAATTTCTTATCATTTTGATGATTCCAGAACCTTGCATAATGCTAGATGCTAGATGATCAACCTTTTCTGGTCGATTTCACAACGTTTCTTTCACAATGCAATCGCATGACCATAACTGGTCTTTACCTTTAAGTTTTTGAGAACTCAATTTGGAGTAAGTTCACTAGCCTTGTCCGTCAGCTGTTTAAATGTGCAAACATGATGGAAATGACTTGTTATATATAATCCGAAACATGATTTCGATCGGCAATACAATAGCGTAATGGTATGACCTTTGGCTTGATTTGAAACTCTTTGGCCCGAATTCACAAAGGAGGTTTGTCGACAAACCTTGGTTTTCGTACGTCATATGACGCGTTTTACGTGTTTTTTACAAACCAGGTTTGTAAACAACAAAAGGAGTTTTGAGCTCAAACCTTGGTCTGAGCTCAAACCTTGCTTTGTGAATTCGGGCCTTTGAGATCGTGTTGTAGACATACTCATGTAATCGTAATCGATACTTAGTAACAGGTCATACAAATTCTTCGAATGTATTATATACAATGTAATGCGAAGGCTCTTCATCAGAGAAAGATTTATTTTAAATAGTATGTAAAGTTAGTTCTGTGGTATATTGGTGAAGGCATTTAATGATGATGTGGCTGTCGTGGGTTTAAATAGAATATGGCAATATCATCATAGTTTTGCATAGCTTTTTAAAATAATAATAAACAGTGTGTGTCACAATCACTTTTACATTGATGTATTATCTACAACAGCACGCTTGATTAATAATGAGAAACCAGTTACAACATTTGTAATTATGTTCGTCATTTACAAATTAAGTTCATGCAACCAAATGTCGAGAAAGTATATACATTTCAGATCTACAAATCTGATTACGAGGCTTAAAGTCTGCCCTATTCTCAATGACTGTACAACGATCCTCAGACAATAAGTGTTTCACGGTCAATATCTTACATTCAACGAACTCCTCACTTAAACCCTATTGCCAACGACGTGATATTTAAATCTGTTTGATATTCGCAAAAATTTGCGTGACTTTAATGGAGCATTATGTTTTTATTGCCCCAAATTGCTCTTAAATCATTCAGATTCTTTTTCAGGCAGAAGTATCCTTTGTGGACTTACTAGAGCTGTCCTGGTCTCCTTGAGGTATGGTCATCTTGGGGTTCTTTGAGATGGGTTGAAGCTTTGACTTACCTTTCTCAGGCTTTTTTTTCTTTTCTTTGATATTAAGGAAAGTATAAAGGACTGGGTTTAAGGAGGAGTTGATTGGTAAGATGAAGATCACGGTCCAAGCGTACAAAGAACTGGGCAAGACAACCAGTCCTGTTTGGGTAAGAATACCCATAACAATGATGGGCATCCAGCAGGCGAAATCGGTTCCTACGATAAACGCCATTTTCCTTGCTACCTTAATATCTCTCCCTCTCATTTCTGTGTTTCCAACAGATCGAGAGGATTTCTTTACTTGTATGAACATCGACGTATAGCAAACCAACATAAACATGTACAATACCATGTTAATAGCGATGAAGATGATAACGGAGTATATCCATGAGGGACGAATGTCACTACTGACGGTCTCATAGGCAACAACAAAATCTTCAGCCGCTGCAGAATCTTTAAGAAATCGCAGGATGCCAGTTTCTCCCGAATCTACGTGAAGTGGCAAACCGAGACACACATCGGAAAGGCCATAAGCGCCAGACAGAACTGAGTCGAGCACAAACGGCACAAGAGCAACAACAAAAACAACCACCCACATCAGGATCAGAAGTACACCGGTCACTTTGATACTCAACCGATTTTTCCCAAAAGGAAAGACTATGCAGATCGTTCGGTCAAGAGTGATTAATGTTAGTGTTAGAACAGACAGTTCACTTGACAGGAACGCCAGAACGCCGGCCACTTTGCAGACAGTTGAATTGCGCCACCATGGCGCACTTAAGAAGAAGGCATCACCAAAAAAAACATCAGCTGATGTTATGATGAGCATGTAGACGCCCATAATACAGTCCGCGATAGCTAGATTAATAATTAGGAGGGTTTGAACACTCGTTTTCTCCTCCTGACGAAATCGTAGAGCAAGTACCATGATGTTTCCAACCAGAGAAGTTACACCTATGATCCAGCCAAAGATTCTAAGTAGGAGGCTTGGATAGAGTCGGCCGCACGTGTCCAATGGATTTTGAGGAGATGTTCTGGCGCAGCTTACGTTCTCTTTATGACCTACAAGACAACATATCCTGCTGTCAGATGTAGACCTAAAAGAATGAGGCAAAGTTTAATCAATTACTATTTCGAGGTAATAGTGAGATAAATGTTTAAAACTCCTGCACTGGGTTTTAAAATATCAACAAAATCTCGGTGAAGTTATAATTTTTTTTGTTAAGTGATGAATTGGACCTAAATCAGTTGATCGATTGGAAGTGGACACGTGGCCGCCCAGTTACATTTCCTGATGCGTAACCGAACATTAGAATGGGTGAATGACCGGTCCATATCATTTTCTTACAACCGGCCGGTTACTCGTCTAAACCTGAAGTCAATCGACAGTACATCTGCGAAATTTAGGGTTATGTAATTTATCAAATGACAAGGATGATCGTAAGCGTAAAAGAAAAAGAAATAATTGACCGTATCCTTTTTGGACATGAGTATATAATTATCCACTGTAGGTACCTTCGACTATTGCCTCGACTATTCCAAAGGTGGCTTGGCTGGATAGTTCTTAATAGCGCCATCACTGATGCATGTTATTTCTGTCACACATTATCACAACTTTACTAATTTCTAGAAAAGTAAATGTACTTACACAGCTGTGAGAGAGGATAGGTTTTGGGCCATTTCTGGTTCTATAGTTGGAAGGTATACATCGACAAGGAATCTGAAAGGGAAAACCGTTTAAACCATTATTTATAGAATCCGATGCGTCATGCCAGTTACATTGAAAAATTGCCATTAGATTTGAAATTTGTCAAAGGGCACAAGCAAATTGACTTGGTTTCGAACCAGGGACATCCCGGTTACGGGACCACTGCTCTACCACTGAGCTCTTACACCTCCTTTGAATGGTAATGGTATTATCGATGGGATAGTATGAGTCGCCTATTCGGAAATATGAAAGTGTGTTTTCTCTGAGGATAAATATAAATTAAAGAAAAACAGAACTACTTTCTATTTAAAAAAAAACGAAAATTAAAAATATATTGCTGCTACTTACAGATATTCCAGGTTCCGGAAATTAGCGAATGCGTTTTCGTCTATTCGTAGTAAGGGGTTGTAACTCAGATCTCTTTGAAATAAAAATTAATACAGAACTCTAAGCGTTTGCTAAATTTTCGTGTTATTTCAAAATATTTTCCTAGTTTAATATCTATTTAAAAAAATACTATATACATCCTGAATTATTATTTCTGTATAGGTAGAGGAAATTACTGTTAATCAAAAAAATTATCAATTCTTATTGTAAATATACAGGTATTATAAATACCAGATCATTTTATCAAAAATATAGCAGTCATCATATTATTCATTCTTCTCAGTCATTAAATTAGCATCCTTAAAATTCTTATCATAATCATCAATATCATTTTTATAAATATTCTTCTTCTTCTTATTATTATTATTATTATTATTATTATTATTATTATTATTATTGTTATTATCATCATATTTTTTCATAACTACACTTGTATTACTATTTATTATCATCATCATTAATGCTATTATTATTTTATCATCATTATCATTATTATTATCATCATTATTATAATTATTATATTCATTATTATTATAGTAATTATCATTATCATTAGCATCGTCATAATCGTCTCATCACCATCATCATGACTTGTTTGCGTTTAACATTCTAATGAACAGCTGAATTACTTTTTTAATCATACAGTTTTCTCTCTATGGTCCTTGATTTTTTTCCTTCATTCATAAAATATATAAATTAACATCGGGTTTATACTAACAACATCCGTAGGCTCTCCAGTCCATCAAAAGCCCAAAGAGGTATATAGCTGATGAAATTCGATGTCAGATTTCTGTTCAGTTGGAAGAAGAGCGAGAGACAATTTTACATTTCATATTAGTACAAAAATCGTATATATTTTATACCCCACCATCATGACATAAAAATAAAAATTTGCTCAGGTTTTCCATTCATATGCAATATCATAATTAAAACATATGGCGTTTTGTTAAAGGTAAAGATCAGTATTGGAAACGCCCCAATTTCAAAAAATGAAATGGAAGCTCTCATTACCAATCATGTGAAAGAATATGTTTTGACTAATACATGATGATAAAAAATTTGCCGGGAAACCGCCTACTAATTGATATATTTGGTAAATTATTATATCTATTTGACAGTGAGAGATATAGGGTAGTCCCATATACATCTTTCTGTGTATAGTGCTTGTAACTTTACAAAGAATGGGCCAAATTTCATATCATTTTGATGATTCCAGAACCTTGCAAATGCTAGATGCTAGATGATCAACCTTTTCTGATCGATTCCACAACGTTTCTTTCACAATGCAATCACATGACCATAACTGGTCTTTACCTTTAAAGAGACAGAGCAAATAACAATGGAATAACTTTCACAAAGACGGAATAGACGTTAGATGGTAAATAGAAGATGAAATCTAAAAAGGATTACTTAAGATGTGTAGTTTCTCGCATGATATCGAAATCAATGAAGTAATGCATGCATACATCAAAAGGGACACATGCCTTCGATTAAATACGAATCGATACAGAACAATCATATTAAGAGCGATTATGACATGAATATATCAAACACCGAATAATCAACGTCAGTTTTATAGAATTCTTTATTCAAAAGAATTATGATCGATAAACAAGATTACATAATTGAAGTCAAGATGATTTGAGAAAAGAAATAACAATCACTTGACACGTAATTGTCAGAAAGTAGCCATTGTACCGGGTCCATTGCTTATAATAACAAATGATGTTTAACCACATGCATACAAACTAGTCAAGTATAAACAATAACAATTATATTATTCAAGTGAATGAATACTTGTAATTGTTTAATATACAAAATGTGTAAACTTACAAAATCCGTAAAGATGATAACCCTTGAAAAGTACCTTCCTGTATTTCGGTAATGTTCAGGCCCTCGAGATAGCTGCATAAACATGTTCACCAATGAATATTCATCTCATTCTTAAAACATAAATAATCATATTTGACATTTTTTCAGCAGATATGTAGTCATCTTGAGAAATCGCAAAGACTTCAAGAATTTAACGGCGATTTTGATGCCTGATTCTAGATCCCATAAAAATCATACAAAAGGTCATCGAAATTAACTTAGGTTGATTTTCGGAAATTCTTTGCGATTGTGTTCTGTAAACGTATTCAAGTTAGACAAAATATGGAAATACACGTTAAAAACATAATCTTGAGTTCTCGCAAGGACTAAAAGTAACAAAGAATAGAACTAAAATTGAAAGTACGAGACTATTAACATGTACTATATGACAACGATTTGGAAAACAAATGTGTATAATTTAACTAACGGGCTGGCAAAGTCATTATATTATGCTAGTAATTCCAACACTTATAACACGTGGTCTCATTAATTTTGATGCAAATTTGATTTTTGATGGAGAACAATTCAGATATTATTTAATTCAATTGAGGTGCTTCCTCTTCTTTTCCTTCTTCCTCTTTCGTCCCCCTTCCTTTTTTGTTCCTCTTTCTTCTTCTTCTTCTCCTCCTGCTCATCTTCCTCGTTCTCCTCATTCTTCCTTGCGTATCCGGACACCTACCCCCTGGATGTCCAGGGGGTAGTTGTCCGGATAATCAAGGAATAATAAGGAGGAGGAGGATAACCACCCCCAGTCAACTACCCCCTAGGGCAACTACCCCCCCAGACAACTTCCCCAATGACAACTTCCCCTAGGACGACTACCCCTGGGAAACTAACCCCCAGACAACTACCCCCTAGGACGACTACCCCCGGACAACTACCCACTAGGAGAGTTGTCCGGTGGTTAGGTGTCCTTGAGGATGGTTGTAGGGGGTAGTTGACCGGTGGGAGTTTTCCGGGGGTATTTGTCCTAGGGGGTAGTGTTCCGGGGGTAGTTGTCCGGGGGTAGTTGTCCTAGGGGGTAGTTGTCTGGGGTAGTTGTCCGGGGTTAGTTGTCCCGGGGGTAGTCGTCCAAGAGGGTGGTTGCCCTAGAGGGTAATTATCCTTGGTGGTAGTTGGCCGGAGATTGGTTATCTGGGGGTGGATGTCCAGGGGATAGGTGTTCTAGAACGTCTTCCTGGACATGTCATTTCCAAACCAGAATGCGATATTAATCTTTGGATTGATCAATACTATACGTACTAACTCTCTTAGATTTTGCTGTTTTACATGTGAGAAAGTGAAAATGCTGTCATAGTGGAAATGAAGCAATCTTCTTCTTTCTATCAAGTGAAAGAGAATGAACAAGGATGATGAAGAACTTACAGAAAGTGACAGTTTGAGAAGCCTCTGAAAAATCCCGGTTCCATTGAGAGAAGAGTACCATGGTTGAATGCCCTGGCCAACGAGAGAAGGGCATGATAGTTAAAGTTAACAAATAATCTATTCATACCCTTACTAAGTTTTGTAATTGTTCAAGTATGTGAAACATTGAATTGTCCCAATATTTATGTTCCTTGTGAATGTGACATGTAAAGCTTACATCTAAAGTATTCACTTACAAAAAACACCCAAACAATCAAATTTATTAAATACAAGGGTTAATGTTTTAGTTGTTAACTAAACAAATATATAAAAATATTAAAAAAACGTTTATGTTTTACCAGTAGGAAAGACGTATTGCAAGATCTGAATATGAATGGAGACAAATATATATTTATATACTCGTTTGAGGATTTCTTCGGCTTGTTTTAATTCAATGTATTTAAAGACCGCTCAAGGGAGACAAGAAAAGTGATCTTCATAGGTAGGAGGTCTTAATCTACAGGTTCCTTTAGTACTGATTTCGTTGAGAATCCATTTTCAAGGGAAATGAAAAATGTAGTCTTTTCTAAACAGGTGGTATTTCTAAACAGGTGGCTGCTAAATCAGGTTTGACTATATACAGACATCTTGCAGGCGAACTTTGCAGTCGATTGGAAATATATTTAGAATATGCGTCTTTATTAATTTTTTTGTGTGGATGGGGGGTTTGTGAGTGTAATTTCAGCATAGTGCATGGTGAAAAACCATTTGAATGAAGTTTATAGAGATTACACCAAGTATTATTTAAAGGGGAAAGAAAAAAATGCGAGGTAAGTATCGCAAAAAGAGCTCGGGGCTCCGGTAGTTCAATAATAGATTTTCATTTCTTTTTTTTCTTCCAACCCCTCCCCCCCCCCCACCCCCACCCCTTCCCCCGTCTGCTAAAATAAAGGTGCATGACATTAAACCTATCTTATTTGTCAGCAAATATATAACACAAATAATTTTCAAATTGAATAAACATTTGTGAAGGAAAAAACTACCAAAATGTCTACACTTTTACAGGAATTTGGGAGGTGCTAGTTCATCTATAGATATTCAGTTACGAAGGATAAATACTTACACCAGTTCAATATCTACTTCACCGTATATTCTGAGCCATTTCGTGATAGCGAATTGCCAACTCCTGTTACGATAAAGAACGGTTTTGAGTATTACATAACATTGTTTTAAATATAAAAGAAACTCTGTTAAAGGCATTCATCTTTGTCTCACATCAATTTTAAAGTACTTATTTTCGTTTCTCAAAACATTATTTGCTTATTTAATATAAAAATTATGATAATTATTACAGAAAATGGGAGAATAACACGTGCACCAGACAACGCAAACGTGTCTAAGGATCTCGGCTTTGGAACACCACAAACACGAGAAATCAACTGGGCCTTTTCTTTACCCTATGTACATTCTGTAGAAATTATTTTCTAATTACATAAAATAACGTCAAAGTATTGTTCACATATTTAAGTGATGCACAAGGCTATCAAAATTGCCGTTGGTTGAATTTTCCTAGATCTTTGCGCGATAACGTAGCTGTATTTCCCATGTGCTCTGCAAATTTTTCCTTCAACAGTAAAAAAAAAGTTCTTCTATCCACGTTCTCCTCCATAAGCTCTCTCATCTATTAGAGTTATTTTGAAGTTAATGAGAAATCAAAAAGACTGCCAGTACCTCGAAGGACCGAATAATAAATAAATGGAATGCAAATTTGATACACTATTATGCGGAAAAGCAATTGAATATCATGACCGGGATATTATATGATAACTGGTTCTAGGACACCTAACCCCTGGACATCCACCCCCGGATAACCACCCCCAGTCAACTACATCCTAGGACAACTACCCCCTAGGATGACTACCCCTATGACAACTACCCCCGGGACAACTACTCCCGGACATCTACCCCCTAGGACAACTACCTCGTAGGACAACTACCCCCGGAGAACTACACCCTAGGACAAATACCCCCTAGGACAACTACCCCCGGACAACTAGCCCTTGGACAACTACTCCCTAGGACAACTAACACCCGGACAACAACCCCCTAGACAACTACTCTCTACAACCATCCTCTAGGACAACTCACCCTGTCAATTGTCTAGGGGGTAGTTGTCCGGGGAGTTGTTGTCCTGGAGGTAGTTGTCCAAGGGGTAGTTGTCCGGGGTAGTTGTCCTACGGGGTAGTTGTCCTAGGGGGTAGATGTCCGGGAGTAGTTGTCCCGGGGGTAGTTGTCATAGGGGTAGTCATCCTAGAGGGTGGTTGCCCTAGGGGGTAGTTATCCTAGGGGGTAGTTGTCCTAGGAGCTAGTTGACTGGGGGTAGTTGTCCTAGGGGGTATAGTTGACTAGGGGTGGTTAGCCGGGGTGGATGCCCAGGGGGTAGGTGTTAGGATACGATGATAACTGCAAGTTAAGCGTTGGTCACATCCCACCGTGCGTGTTTTTAGTCCGTACGGTTTTGGGGGGACCACCGTTCCGCCACGATTTTCTGAAAACATAGGGAGGGAGTGACAAAGGCAGGGAGGGAGTACCGGCAACGCGCGTCACACGCACTGTGTAAGTACGTGACCCGCACGCTACGCCTGGCCGTGAACGGTTGCGTGCATCGTACGTTGCGCACGTGGTAAGTGCGTTGTACGTGCTTACAACGTGCTTACAACGTGCTTACAACGTACGGTCTCCGTGCGGTTGCCACGTTATCGTACGGAGGCCGTACTTACAAATGCTGCTCACGTACGGTGTCCTTACTCACTCGCATGTTGTAAGTGCGTGCTTAAGTGATGTTTATATAGGACGACATTCCGATGTTCTCCAGAAGTCCCAGCTGTTGCTGCCTCAAGATGCCGCCCATTCCACCGAAGAGACTATATACTGCATAAATCAGTGCGAACAACGTGCGTTGTAAGTGCTTGCTCGGTACGGTCCACGTGAGTTCTGCGTACTCATTGGATAGCTGAACTGGGGAAGTGGCGAGTAAGCACGGATTACGCACTTATCACGTGCGCCTTTAAAAGACGCACGGAGTCAGTGCGTTGTGCGCTCGTTGGCAGTACCGGGCACCCACGTCACACGCACTGGGGTGAATCGGTAGCCCGAACGCAGCCCGAACGCAGCGAAAGTTCCTCGTGCACTAAAAGTGCTACGGTGTGTCTGCGTGCTCCCAAATCCGTACGGAAGCGGTACTCATCACGTACGGATACCCAAATTTTGCTCACGTTTTTGCACTTAGACAGCACGCACTTGCAAGTACGGCGGGATGTGACCACCGCATAACGTAGAATTAAGCGATGTACAGATCTGAAAATGAGTGTTAATATGTATTATTATAGGCCCAAAAACGCTTTAATTTCGAGGAAAAAAAAATTATTTTCAACTAGCTTAATTTCCTCACACAAAATTAACAACTCGACATAGCGTAAGACCCCCCCCCCCTAATAAAAGGGGTATTAAGATTGAAGAAAAGAATAATCATGGACTGGTGAACTTTTTTCCCCCTTTTTTGTGCGGCTTATCAGAGTATTTTTTAGCCAAAACGGCACACCGAAAAGGATAACCTTTTGTCTTGTTTGGTTTGGTTTGGTTTAGTTTTTTCTGCCCACAACATTTTTCGGACTTATGATCCTTGCCGTAAAACCCTAAACCTCCTACTGATTACCATTGTATACCCCGGCATTTGCGAATCTAAACGTTTTTACGCTTCAAACCCTACTGTTAATGATGAAGAAGGACTTCTGTAAACAGATTCTTGCAACATGATACTTACAGACACGTCAGAGAGAACAGTTCTAGGTGCAGGTTAGAACAATGAAGCCTATCTGAAAGAGGGAGAAAATATTTTAAAATGATTGAAATCCATTTATATAGGTCTTTGCGTTTGTCACTTTCTGAACAACATTTTATTTTATATGTGTTTGTGTTTGTGTGTGTGTGTGTGTGTGTGTGTGCGTGTGTGTATGTGTATGTGTATGATTTTGCGTTAATGGAAAGTGAAAATCAAAAGTTTATTGTCTTGCAGAAGATCACAGGCTGAAATACTAAATAAGGAAAATGAAGAAAAAAAGGGGGAAAGGCAAATTGTATCTTTAAAGAGATTGTTGATTTTTTTGTTGGTAAAGATGCAAAATGATTTGTGAGCTTCTGATTCTTCTATATTTGTGTGGAATAAGTTATGGCCAATATGAGAAGGTTTGCTCTTAAAATACCCTCAAAGAGAAATAGCTTCAAGCTTTGGACCAAACATTGATACCGCATGTGTGTATAGCCCCATGTACCAATATCTGTGAGTCTTTCTTTCCTCTGTTTCGTAATTGTAGTCACATCCCATTAAATCTGTTCAGTAGTCAGTACCTCCTCCCATGGACCTACGAGAGGTCCATGCTCCCCCTTAATGGCAGGATCCATGTTATGATACTGATAAAAAAAATCTTACCATTCCAGAATAGGATAATACAGTGTTTTGTCAGCGGTTCACAAATAGGTTCTGTAAAAAAAAACATTTAACAAATATTATAAAAAATAATGCCTTTATAGTTGCAGATGGGAATTGAAACTTAAAAGAAACCTCACCCCAAGAAATAGGTTTAGTTATCTGAGAGATTTATTGTATTCCTGCCAATTATTCCACAACATTCCCTACCAAAGTGTATGAGAGAGGTGTAAAGCAAGAATAATATACAGTTCTCAGCATGCAAGACACGGGCATCGCCATTTTATTGATAACTTGACTAAATGTATTCAAATTTATAAATGCTTCCTTCCCAGGTGTGTGTGGCGAATCAGCATTTCATTTTCCTGCTAGTATCCTTTGTACTACAATCGTCAGAACGATAGTTTCATAAGTAAGTTTGTGCTGTTCTGGGCTGAAAGTTTCGCATGAATTAGATAATTTGTAAAGTGCTTTGTTTTAGTATTTTTAAATAAATGATTCACAATTGTTCCCCTGTTATATATTTTTCCCCAAATAATTTTTTTAGCTTCTCAGCTATTATTTTTCCTCATTGAAAAGTAAAGTTTCACCGATTGAATTAAGAAGTCTTTCCAACTAAAGCTTGGTACATGATACATGTAGAGGATTGCCTAGTAGGTCACATTTTCAAGAAAATGGTCGCACGCATGTCATGCTAAAAGATATTATTTCATGCCGAGAACATCTTCATTTATCTCTTGTTCACTTTCGTAAGGAATATTGTACATCAAAGGGCTGGAATACATCTCATTTTCAGGATACTTACATTTATTTTTGGAGTGAGGTTTCCTTTCAATGGCTGACTCTTAAAAGCAATTCGAAACTCCATAGAAAGTTAGTTGAATTTTTTTTAAGGTGAAAGTGTGAGAAAACTCTTTAAAAAGTATAGAAAAGGGGTTGATGTGTAGTAATGGAAAGAAACTAAGAACTTGTATAAGATTGATGGGAATTTGAATCTGTATCGAGGAAGGAATAACTCTAAAGTCATATGTAGCCATTATAAGTGCAAGAAAAATTTCAAGGGGAATTCCTTAGTGTCCCCATATAATATTACCACCATTCACTGTCTGTATTTTTTTTACGGACTGGTACTTTTAAAAGACGAATCGTATGCTTTGATTACGGACAATTTGAATAATATGAGTTGATTATTGTACCTTGAAATAAATGGCTGCTCTTTGTGAAGTACGAGAGGAAATCATTATACATACCTTCGATTTCTGGGTCTCCTTCACACACGCCCGGAATACAGATCTCGTCTGAAACCAAAGAAAAATCAAATTTATGAATAAATCGTTTTATTCACCTCATAACCGATATTTGCCTTCACCATAGACGGATGAAGTCATTCAAAATCATTGAAATTTTTTTTTTTAATGGAATCACTGTTTGACGTTAAAATTGATATATTCAGTTGAGTTAATCTTTCTTTATTTCAATTTATTGTGAGAATAAAAAGAATACAATCGCAAGAGGCTGGAAGGAATGAAAATGGTCACTCTCCCACTGGGCTGTATGTGAAATCATCATTGTTTAAAATTCATTCATGATATCAGTTGCTATAAAAGCTTTAGTTATTACGATTATCTTTTAAGTGTTTTTTTTCAGGCGTGTGTTTTTATAAGGTCATTTTAACACAGTATACTTTAGTCACACACGCAAATTTTCTTCAAATCTACTCTAGATCGAACCCATTCTTGCATTATTGCATTTTTAAGTGAACGGACACACATAATGATAAATATCTATCAATGTACTGCTTTTCTTTCATCTGTAATCGGCATTGAGTCGGTTTCGTTAGGTGTCTCTGGGGTATTAACATTACAGAAGTGAACGGTTAGATGATTTTACACAATGAATTTTTATTTTCATGATGGAAGGGTGTAAATTTACCATTTGAACACTCCACTCCTCCCGCTTCTTCCATGATGCAATCACCTGTGACGTCATGTGGGCAGTTAAACAGACTGGCTTCGTCCCCTTCGCAAAACGGCTTATAGAGAACTGTCTCATTGTAGCCTAGTTCGCTTTGTCTTCTAGTAAATGATCGAACCGCTCTGATAAAACCAAGATTTGTGCAGACGACATTGGCATCCGGAATGTCCCAGGAGAAACCGCACACGTGTCCCCGGGTCCCGTTTACACAAACCTCTACGATCCCTTCTGACGAGTCGGTCCCGTTTACCAATCGTACGGTCCTATCTGTAATAAAATGAATAAATAAGAATAAAAGTCGGATTCACGGATTAAGCCTCCATCACACCGGACTAGTTCTCACTACGACCTGTAATGTTGCCCCGGCCCCCCACTCAGAGGTCGGAATGACCGCATGCGTGTTGCCAAAATGTCCGGTAAAGGGGTACTTTTTGTGCGACAAAGTCCGGCCCGAGAATTGAAAAAAAGGGGTGTATTTGACTTTTCACCCGGAGATTTCTTTAAAAAGGGGGTGTTTTTCTTTTTTTCTCTCATATCTTTGGACTCCTGAGAAATTATTCCGAATTTAGGGGGGTACATTGAGCATTTTTCCTGATTTAGGGGGGTCTCCAAGGCAGGAAAAGCCCGCGAAAAGCCCGCGAAAGGGGGGGGGGGGGTCGGAAATATTGGCAGTCCTCAGATAGGGGGTGCTTTCAAAAAGAGGGTACGAGCATATGCGTACCCTAAATGACACTGAGTGGGGGGGGGGGGCCGGGAATGTTGCCAAACGAGCTCAAAATGTGTCGAACGGAGTTGAACGTAATAGCAACTGTTTACGATCTGTATTAGAACTTCAGGGACGGGCTCGGACTGGCTATATGGAAGGGTGCTCTAGAACTTTGAGCCTGTTCAAAATTTTCCCCGTCCTGCAATTAGACGGAGTGAGAACGTACTTAAAACGAGGAGGACGTACTACAAACGGACTGATTGCCGTACTATGAACCGAATTACCGTACTTCGATCCTACTAGGAACGTTTTACAACGTGCTGTGGTCGAGCATCAATTAGCAGCAGCTAAACCCCAATCACACCAAACTAGTTCGCACTACGTTCTGGAACCGTCCTAGAAAATCATAAAAACGGGTAATGGTCGGGGTATATTGTGTAAAAAATGTCTATAATACGATTCTAGTATGTTCATAAATAGTCTTCAATACGTCCATCTTGTCTGTACCCCGTCCACAGTCAGTTCATCTCAAGTTCAGATTGGGTAAATATTTCATTTCCAAGCAGTCCAAGCCAGTTCGTAATCAGTTTAAACCCGTTATTAACTAGTTTTACCAGAACGTAGTGAGAACTATAGTTTGGTGTGATGGGGGCTTTAGTTTGATGTTTGGAATTAGGTCTCAATATATTGTTTCTTAACATCGGGAAAACCATTTTCTGCAAATCTTATGTTGATCAACACTCGATTCTTAGCATTCAGAGGAATAAAAGGTATTACATTTTGACAATGTTTATCTCATTTTTACGTAAAGAAAAGCAAAGAAAAGTACATATATTCAACACCTGATTCATTAACCAAAAGTAAATTCCGATTTCTCTCAATTATTGACTTGCTAATCCAGAGTTGGCAGTTTATTACAACCTGATAATACTGTTGATGATAATTGAGATAGAAATATATTTATATTTTTTTTAATTAAAAGGTGATTGATGGTTTGATGTATAAAACTCATGAATTTACAAAGAGAGATCTGTGTATGAGTAATTTTAAACGCGCCAGGGCAAAACAAATCTGAGATATTTAGAAATCTCTTAAATTTGACAGGCCGTTTATTATGCAAGACGTAAATTACTTTGGGGGATTAGGGTGTGATATGTGTTGCCAAGCTTTAAGTCGTATAATTCGGTACTTTTTAATTCTTTGCTTATCTTATCAAATATCAAAGCTGGCATTTCCTCCGGAGCCTCCTGTCGACATTTTGTAAAAAGTCCTGAAGTTTTTGGAAAAGTTTCTGACGATTCTTAAATAGAAAATAAGGTGCATTTATACTGTCAAATACCTCATTTTGAAAAGTCGCGATGTTTCGCGCAGCCGTTTACACTTGTGCGGAAACATCACCGACTGAAAAGCTCAGTGATGTTTTGGCGTGTTTCAGTTGGTAATGCGCATGCGCGGCACTCCGATGCAAACACTTTCCTCTTTCTATCTTTCCTTGTTATTCTTTGTTTTTCCTTCTATCACCTTCTCTTATGTTATTCTTTATCACTTCCTTCTATCACTTTCTCTTTCTGTGTTTCCTTATGTTATTGTTTATTTCTTCCTTTTATCACTTTCCTTATGTTATTCTTTATTTCTTCCTTCTATCACTTTCTCTTTCTGTCTTTCCTTATGTTATTCTTTATTTCGTCCTTCTATTACTTTCTCTTTCTGTCTTTCCTTATGTTATTCTTTGTTTCTTCCTTCTATCACCTTCTCTTATGTTATTCTTTGTTTTTTTTATCATTCTATCAATTCCTCTTTCTGTGTTTCCTTATGTTATTCTTTGTTTCTTCCTTCTATCACCTTCTCTTTCTGTCTTTCCTTATGTTATTCTTTGTTTCTTCCTTCTATCACCTTCGCTTTCTGTCCTTCCTTATGTTATTCTTCGTTTCTTCCTTCTATCACCTTGTCTTATGTTATTCTTTGTTTCTTCCTTATATCACTTTCTCTTTCTGTCTTTCCTTATGTTATTCTTTATTTCTTCCTTTTATCACTTTCCTTATGTTATTCTTTATTTCTTCCTTCTATCACTTTCTCTTTCTGTCTTTCCTTATGTTATTCTTTATTTCGTCCTTCTATTACTTTCTCTTTCTGTCTTTCCTTATGTTATTCTTTGTTTCTTCCTTCTATCACTTTCTCTTTCTGTCTTTCCTTATGTTATTCTTTATTTCTTCCTTCTATCACTTTCTCTTTCTGTCTTTCCTTATTTTATTCTTTATTTCTTCCTTCTATCACCTTCTCTTCCTGTCTTTCATTATGTTATTCTTTGTTTCTTCCTTCTATTACTTTCTCTTTCTGTCTATCCTTATGTTATTCTTTGTTTCTTCCTTCTATCACTTTCTCTTTCTGTCTATCCTTATGTTATTCTTAGTTTCTTCCTTCTGTCACCTTCTCTTATGTTATTCTTTGTATTAATCGTTCTATCATTGTCTTCAAAAGGACGACATCTAGCCCCGCTCCTCAAGTCACTTTACTGTAACATCGCGATGTTACAACTGCGAGCGTTTAATACTTGCCAAACACGCCAAAACACGCCAAAACACGCCAAAAGATCACACTTCGTTTTGGAATGTTTGGGGCTTGGCGTTTCTGCCGGTAAAGCGTAGTTGCCCTTGGTAACATCGCGGCCAGGCTCCGGTTTGGCATTTTTTGGCGTGTTTGGAAGACAGTGTAAATGCTCCTTATGAGATTCGTGTAACTTGACAACCGCATTCCTTTAATCGAGTTAGGGCGATGATGAGGTTAAGCAATCAACGGTTTTAGCCAAGGGTGGTAATGCAACTAGGCACAACTGATTACCCAAATGAACGGGACACATCTGCACTCGCTTTACGAGGCCGCTTTAATGGCTGTCACTAGCGTAATTAAAAGTGGAAATGAGCAGTGTGCCCCCTGATAAATTTTCAGCAAAGAAAAAACACCAGAGATTTTAATTAGGGTGATAAATATTGCAAGTTAAATGACCGTGAAATTGACCTTACAATCTTATAAATTGTAGATATTTTTTCTGAATTTTTTTCTCGACGGCAATGTCACGTCAAGGACATATTGCAATGTAAATGACCATGAAATTGACCTTACAATCTCATAAATTGTAGATATATTTTCAATTATTTTTTTTCGGCGGCAATGTCACGTCGCAAAATACTGGGTTTAATGCATTTTAGCCAATCATGGTTTAGTGTCAGAGCTCAAATTTTCGACGTTTCCCTTCGTCTTCCTCGGGAGCATTGACTCATCATTTCAGTCTGATACAAAATATAAGCCAATACGTGAACTGTGAAGTATAAGGAATGAAAAAATTATATAAAGAAATTAAAGCTCCGGACATCTTAACGGTAATACAAAGTTTTGGTATGGGGTCATGGATTTGATCCAAATTAACAAATTGGATGCGATTTTACAATATTCAATGATCCTTGTCGCTGTTGAAATCGAGTCTAAAGTGATGAAATTGTGAATAATAAATTCTTTATGTTTTATAACTCCCTCTCAAGACTGATAATTTGCTATTCCCGTTTGGAAATTATTTACCAGAACTGCATATTCTGAGATTTACATGGTCGAAGCTACCATGGAATGGCCTTAGGCGCTATTCGAAATATTTCAGATTTACCGGGAGCACCGGTAAATTTTTGATTATTCAATTTCTCGAAAGCGTTTTAGGTGCTTATATCACATCTACAGGGGCATTCAAATATATCAACATTTTTAAGTATTACTATCCATCCGATTTTCAAAATTCCCAAAACTTTGTATTACCTTTAAATGGGGAGAGAACATTTGTTCATGCACGGCTTTGCTGTTGAATCATCTACCTTGAGAGATTCGTAAGAGCAGATTAGTTGAATTGTTTAAAAATTGTCTTAAAGCGTATCTGTTTAATTCGGAATTTAATTAATTATTCTGTGTTTTTTGTATGTTCAACCTTACTTCTGCTCCTTCGTTTATAATGCAGATACTTTTATGCTCTCTCTTTTTTCACAAGTGCGCCTTGAGAATTTGAATTGTGTAATTGATTTTTTTTTAAAGACGTGTATCAATCAATCAATCAGAATGATTATTTACGTGTGAGGACCGACTTTTAACGTCACCATCCTAAAGCCGCGACTCAGTTTCGCACCTGCGTCCTCAGCTGAATCAGTTTGTAACTTTTATTATAAGCTGGATTACAGGCGCATGCCACAACGACCCAATCAAGTGGATTCCGCGTCTCATAAATCACACATTATATTTTCATTATTTCAATATAAAGTATATTCGGGCGCCATCGATCTGCAGGAATCATGATATGATGTTAGGGCAGCGACATGTCCGAGTATCGTGATATCATCATATGGGGATGTTTATGGACATCGCATCCTGAAATTATCCCGTTTCTAAGTTTTACGATATCGTCATTCCAAAATATATTTTTATTGTAACTAAAATAACCTCGCGACTCCCGGTTGAAAACGCTGTAATGGATGGTAAAAATTGAGGGGCGGAT